TTTTTTTTTTTTTTTTTAAACTAAATTTAATAAATTTAACAAATTTATTTTGTTATTTTTTGATTATATGAGAATTTACGCGTAGATTTTCTTTCTTTTTTTTTCACATTAAAAATAATAATAAAATAATTTAATTAAAAATTATTGCTTAATCTGTTAACAATAACTAAACATACTGTATAAAGGTTATTACATAAAGGTATTACATAACATAAATTATATAAATAGTATACATACAGTAACAACAACAATATATATTAAAAAAAAAAAAAAAAAAAAAAATTTTTTAAAAACATTCGATAGTTTCGATTCGAAATTTTTTTTTTTTTTGGGGGAGAAACTAGACCAAAAAAAAATTTAATTAATTCCAAACTTGGTAATAATCAATTGTTACAATGTCGTATATTGATGTCAAAATGTGTTACGTTTCTTTTGAAAAACAACATCGCATGATAACTTTAAATTTATGTAAATTTTTTTTTTTTTAAAAAAAAGGGGGGAGAGAGAGAGATAAAAAGGGAGGAATGGTTTTTCTCTTAGTACAAGTAGATTATAATCGTTATAATCGGCAAAATATTTATCTTTTGTATCATGTTGGAAGATTTTTTTTAAAAAAATTAGCCCTTTTTTTTTTTGAAAAAAAAAATACAATAATTCAAATACTAAATTGTCATAAAAAATTTATTTTTTATATTTATTTTTATATTTTATTTTTTTATTTGTTTCAGAGGTATGTAAAAAAGTGTTAGATTATGATTTGAAACAGAAAAAAAAAATAAATAAATGATCATCATTCAAATCTAAATTCTTAAAAAACACACGTACGTAATATGGACTAGCCAAAGGTACAATAGCATTTCTCCGCGTATGGTGGTATATCTTCGTAATGCATCATATATTGTCGTGCAAAAGAAGCGCGTGTTTAAAGATAAGTTAGATATAGTGTAACACTGAATTACAAAAAGTATCTAAAAATGGAATAAGGAGCCACAGTGTCAAATGTAGATCCTATTATGGGAGAACAAACCAACAAACGGAGCATCTAGTGTAGTAAATTATTAAAATTTAATTAAAATTATAATTAATCATCCAATCAAATCTTTTGACGAGTAAAAGAACCTTTTAATCAAGTAAAACATGTATTAAATGATTTCTTTGCATTTAATAAGGGGACATACTAAATTACCCGGTTTTTTTAATATTTTAGGAATTTAAGAAGTAAATTATTTCCAAAAATTATATAATTCATGACACGCAACATCTTTTGAAAATCTCATGGTAATTTTACTTTTTGTATAATGTATATTAATGTATGATTTTTTTTTTTTTTTTCATGATTTTCATTGATATCAATGATTGTGGTGATTTTGAGGGGATTTAAGTTTAGTCAGTTTCTAAATTTAGACAAGATTTAATGTAACATCTGTAACATGATGACGAATAAAGGTAACACATGCTCATTACTGCGAAGATTATTTAGAAGTTGGTTCATTTGTTCAATAGTTCATATGATTATATGATTGCCTTTGGCTTAATTAACCAATTGAAGAAAATAAAATGCAATTGCATAAGAAACGCACAAAAAAAAAAATTTTTTTTTAAAAAAAAATAATACAAACTATTGTTTTCATTTAGTATCGTTTTTTATAATAATAATTCAATACATTTTAATATATGTATGTATATGTACTACAATAACTTATAAGGATATATAAAAGAAATTATTTAAGTAAACAAACCTGTAAGCCTCATTTATTTTCAAGCTTCAATAAAGTTAACCTTTTTACAAATAAGTTTAGGGAAAGAAGAAGAATTGTTTTTAGAGAAATATGAATTTTATTTGGGCTAAGTAACTTTTGGCTAATTTTAGAATTTCTTCGGAATTCTTCATTGGATTTCGGAATTTGATAATCATCAAAAAAAATTACTACAATGAGGACGGAACTTACTACTTGATTCGATTCGGGTTTTGACGATGGCACCATTTCAAACGACGTACTCTATCTTTTCATATTTGGTAGGTATGATGAAAAGATATGATCTTGATAACAAAAAAAATTTTTTTTTTAGGGACTACCGAAATTTGTGTATGAAAAGGGTTCCAGATTATTACAAAGTGAATGTAAGTGAAACATTTCATGAAAAAGGAGAAATGTAAAGGAAATAAAATAATAGTATTCAAATGGGAAAATTTTAAATGAAAAAAAAAAAAAAATTTTATAAAAAAAAAAAAAATATTTTTTTTTTTTCTTGCATTTGTTTTTAACACAATCATCATTTATTAATTGATATAATTGGCTAAATTGTCAGCCTGTGTTTAAATTTTAAAAAAACGGATGCGAAATATCATAACTATATAAATATTAAATGATTGAACAATATAAACAATATAAATATAGATAGAATGTAGGAGAAAAAAATTCACCTTCCATGTTTTTCCATGTTTTTTTTCAAGAAGTTTTTTTTTTTTAATAAAAAAAAAAAAATATATATAATATAAGGATCTGACACTTTAATTAAAATTATATTATATAAAAATCTTTTTAAAAAAAAATCTTCAAGGAAAAGATTCTCAATAACCCCTAAAAAGGCATCATATATCAATATATCATATCATATATAAAAAAAAAAAAATTTTTTTTTGATTTATATCAACGCTTTCTATAAATTATAAAAAGAGCCCATTTTGATATTTCCAGTTACAAATTTTTTTCAACTGAAAAAAAAAATAAATAAATAAAATATAAATTCTTTATTATGACAATACCGGTTTTTTAAACAAACAATAATATCTAGTATATATTTTTACTATTTTTAACGAAAATTCAATAAACCAATCAAAATCATATCTGCTGATAATTTTTATTTACGTATAATTACGACTTTGTCTTCATGAATTATTGTCAGCCTTTATAGTAAACAATATTATATAATTATATTACTATATTATTATCTTTTTATATATTTATATATATATATATTTTATATAATAAAAATAAATATATATATAAATACTCCTCCCGATCGGAAAAAAAAAATAATATTTTCAAATCGCAAAAAAAATTCTCGAAAAATAATAAATCATATATACAGTATATATATATATATATATTATATTCTATATATATATATCTTCACACACATTTTGATAAAACTTCTTTAGTCAAAAGAGATTATAATGACATCAATAACACATCAACAATCCACATTTCATTATATTGAACTTACAACATCAACATCAACATCTTCATCTTCATCATCTCTTCTTTCCTCAACTTCTTCAGATAATGAGAAAAGTCCGATTTGTAAAGTAACAAACTCTCCTTGTCTAGAAAATTTTTCATCAGAAAAACAACAAAGAAAAAGAAAGAGAAAGGCTCGTAACACAACATATTTACCTTCATTAAAATTACCGGATTTTCCCGTTAAAACTCAATGTCCAAATTGTAATAAATATGTTGTTACTCATATAAATTATAAAAACGGTACCTTTGTTTACGTTTTTGCCATGGGCTTATTTACTTTTACCGTTGTATTATTTTGGGTCCCATTTTTTATGGATTGTTGTAAAGGTTAGTAAAAATCATTGAAAAAGGTCTTTGTTTGTATTTATTTGATCGTTTTTTTTATTAAAAAAAATTCTTTTTTATTTTAGATGTGACACATTCTTGTCCAAATTGCAAAAGTACCCTTGGAACAAGGAGAAGAATCTGATTTTATATTTTCCTTTTTACTTAATTTAATACCAATCAATATCAAAGTATTATTTACAAATTAATCACTAATACATAATAATCTCGAATTTTATATTATATTACCATAATTATCCGATTTTTTTCTTTATCAAAAAAAAAAAAAAAATTGTACACAAATCGTACACAATATATTGATTAATTAGTTAAGAAATAGATAACGCACGAAAAAATGACGCAGCATCAATTCAAATTGCATTAAAAATCAAAAAACAATTTAAAACAATTTCATTCCCATTGCAATATGCAATACAACTGCATGTTATCACTTTTTAAGATTTTATTTTTATTTTATTTATTTATTTTTTCTAAGAAAGAAAAGGTATTTTATTAAGTAAGGAAAAATGTATATAAAAATACATACAAAAATTAAGTTATACAAGCGCGCGTTAAAAATTTAACGTGTTTTTAATAATATTATTATTTATTATTTATTATTTATTTATTTATTTATTACTTTTTATATGTTTATAGAAATTTTTATAGATTGTATATTATTATCGTTATAATTATATTAGTTTATTTAATTATTATATTATCCCTTGTAAATTTCCAAAAAAAAAAAAAAACCTTTTTTTAGTTATATTTCATATATTTAATTATTTTATTACCAAAAAAGAATTCATAATAAAAAATTTTTTAAAACTTGTTTCAAAAATTATACCTTATTTATTATTATATATTATTAGTTAAACAAACAATGAAATTTAAATATTAATGTAAAAAGTAAAAAAGTAAAAAAAGTAAAAATAGTTCGTCGTTCATTCGTTCCCTTTGTATGTATGAAAAACCAGGGAAAAACCTTTATTATATTGTTTCAGCAGTCAAAATAATACAATGGATAAGGAGAATCATTAACTTCCTTTTTAAGTAGGCATTCTTCATATGACGTAAAAACGTAAAAAATCCTATTGTTGAATTATTCAAGTTATTGCTCTTTGGTAATGTTTCCAAAAAAAAATTATGGTTTCATGTTTAGAAACATAAACATACGAGTTTTAAGATAGTATCATGATAATGTTCCGTATGCCAAATTCGGTTTGTTGTTTTTCTAACAAGTTTCAATTATTTCTAATTTTTATCATAATTAATTTCCTAAATCTTTTTTTTTGTTTTTTTGTTTTCAATAAAGAAAATTTATTCGTACGATGACTCTCATATATTGTATTGTAAAAAATCGACTTTTTCACGCTCCTCTTTAAATGTCACATATATTAATTTTGGCCGGCATTACTTAATTTTGCCCAGAGGCTATTGCCTATAGGCGATGAATAAATTTATTTGCCGAAATATAGATATTATATAAATGATAATCTGAATATTATATATAATATTCAGAATTTCAGATATTAATATTTTTAAAAATTTATTATTATTTAGTCAAATTTATTTGCTCATTGGAAATATTTGCTGGCCGAGTACTGAGTAGGGTGCTTTGCCAAGAATGGGTTTATCAGTGATGTAAAATCTAAATTCCATCGATCTCTAAATCCTTATGAGTAAAATTTATTTATTTGAAATTTCAAAAAATTTCAATTTGTAAAATATCACTTCAATTCAATTTTCTTTTTTTTCTATTCTTTAAAAAAGTAAGAAAAAAAAAATCAATTTATAATTTAAGCCAAAAATTATAAAATTTTGGCCAGAATTATTAAAAATCACATGACATATATGTATATTTTGCTATTTTAATAACTAAAAATTAATAATAATTCTGGATTGTTCGTTCTCACTGCTATGACAACTAGTTTTCCATTAGTCAGTTCGTTATAATTAATGAAGGGTGGGTCCGCCTGTTGGATTTTGTACGTTTAGTATAGATCAATAGTGTATATGTCTTTTTTTTTTTAAAAAAAAATTCATTGTACCTTCGTATCTCACAAATGTATATATGCCTTTCATAAGAAAATTCTGGATTATTAATTTATTATTTATTTTTGTCTTTTTTTTTTTTTCTGTAATTTTCTATATTATATAATTGGTTTAAAATAGTTTGAATTAAAATAAATTTTTTTTTTAAAAAAAAAAATAATAACATTTAATCAAAAGAGAAAATTAACTAATGAGTAAAATTATATAATTTCAATTATTATTAGCATTCCTTATTAGCTGTTTTAGCTGTTAGTGAATATTTTTTAATAAGTGGACATATTAATTAATATATTAATATATTAATATTTCCACTTGGTTCAGAATAATATATCTTAGAACATTATAATCTATTGATTAATACATTCTAGAACACTATAGTCAATTGATTAATATGTCCCTTTTTTCTTGCTATGAAGTTTATCCTCTGTTGGGTTTCTTCTGTATCCCTTTTATTGCTAAGCGGTTTCCTTTAATAATATAACGTACGAACTGCCGTTAACGCTATCACGTGAATAACTCCTAAACTCGGGCCAGTTCGTACATTAATATCGTACGCCCTCACTGTACGTTAAGGACGCCCTACTTGAAATACAAAAGATCAAAGTCAAAATCGTGTGTAACTATGTAGCAAATTGATCTATTTTTATTTTTTTATTTTTATTTTTAATTCATAAAATGAACCGAGCTACTGTAAAAATTACCGAGTCCTACAGAAAGTAACTCATTAAACTGATAACCAAAAACACGACTGCTAAAAAATAAGAAAGAACAGGGGATAGATGAACCATCGCCTGAAACTAATAGGACCAAGGAAAATAAAGTAACCAGAACCGTGAATTAAAACAAACTATTCTATAAAGTTACAAATAAAAGAAATATTATATATAAAACGAATCTATTCTATCTGACAATAAAAATGTCGAACAATCTCTATATGAGACTAGGAACTAATAATACGTAACAATCGTAACATGATTTATATCACGTGATCCGAAAAAAATTAATTAATCATGAAAATCATTTATTTTGATGGAAAAACCTTCCTTTCCTCGTTCTTTTTCAATTTCTTTGAAACAGAGCAACGCCCCACCTCCAATAACAGTGAAGAATCAGAACATCTCCAAGATCTGGACCTTCTCAGCAATTATGCGTCTTTGTTCAACCTTTGAGACCTTCGTTCTCTGAGTGACTTTTCGCTCAGCTACGCAAGTAAACAAAGTGATTCCTAAACATTTTTTAGTACGTTGTGATTAGAATTTCTCCAAGTAAACTCAATATTTACAGCTTAAATTTATACAGTCAACATTCTGCAAGAGGTGCAAGACTACATTCTCCCAAATGTCAATCGTACTATGCTCGAAAATCTCCACCTAAATAAATGTTAACCCACTTAGTAATAATAATATTGTTAAACAACTGTCTTGAACTCAGAATTAAATGTAGGCTTGGTGGCTCATTTAATATTTCGTACTATCAACTTTGATCAATGACCCATTACAATAAAGTGAGTATTGGTAGAAATATCTTTTGTTTGTGATATACTGGTTTCTAAAGATTGCATTGCATCTAAACTTAGATTACATCCAACGCTCCAATTTTCCGTTGGTGAAACAACGTGAATAAAGAATATTCCGTGCTGGTCATTGACGTCATATATCTTCGTATACCTTCTAATTCGCTTGACAAATTCATATTCAAATGACCTTTTAAATAGGATAAACATATAAATAATGTTAACCCAACCCTATAAAAAATTTTATCCGTTATTTCCTGTAAAAATGAGCCTTTCACAGATCCATTCACGAAAAATGTAAATAATTCGATAAATTCTGTGATATAAGGTTATTAATTCCGGAAATATGAGCTTTTTACGGAAGAAAGATGGAATATAAAAAATGGATCAACTTTTTTTACAGGGCAAGCAATGAATATGGGGAACTTCAAATAGCTGCCGAAATAATTGCTTGTGGTAATGAAAACATACGTAAAAGCTCGTCAACTTCTTGATAAGATGCATATATTTGCGATTCGCATGATTCCTACTTATATTACATTTTACTATACTTCAATCAATAAAAAGTATTGGTATAGATTGTTCACGAAAGCAATCAATTACAATTACAAGATACCTGGGAGATAATAATGATCCGATTAATAGATACGATCTTTCAACCCCAAATGGAAGACACAATGTAATTGTTGCATTTATGTAAATTCATGCATTAATTATAACATAGATGGAAATCACTTATATAATATATAATTTTCTTTTGCTTAAGAAGGCTCTTGGACTCTGAATTTATATTTTGCCTAAGCGATAAGATCATTCTTGACAGTAAGCACATCATGTATTTGGTACAATCTTAGTTATCATTCTACTTTTATAATAAAGTATATATCTATAAATGCAGTTATGCAATTAATAATTATATAAATAATATATTTCATTAATCTTGATATCATCTCGAAACCATTTTTCTTAAGCCTTAAGGGATTCTGTGATCATACCTATTATAGACTTTATCAAAAAAAAAGCTTCTACCCACTGTTCCAAATACATGTCCATTTCCTGATTGTGGAAAGAATATAGGAGAGATTTGCAATCAAGTAGAACTTTGGCCTTATCTAATTTGATAGATGAAAAGTTTCTAATTCTATCAACAATACCAGAAGACCCAATGAAGGGTGTCAGGATGTACTAATTCAACAAACTGAAAGCCATGTAACATGCGCCAAATGTGCCAAAAAAATCATCCTAAATTTGCTGGTTGGCATAGCTAACTTATTCTATAAATATGCTGTTCATTATGATTGTATTGATAATTCTTGCAAGAAGTATCCAACCTGCCTATTAGCAAATTATTTGGAAATTCCACTAGATGGTATACAGAAAAAATGTAGAAGGATTACCAGAGTCTAGAGGTAATAAGTTTGCTAAATCTACTAAAAAATCCTTTAGCAAAAAAGCCAAAAATCTTTGGATAGAGATATATAATTTATTTGTATTGAAAAGGTTTATTCAGGAACTGTCAACTAATAACATTATGGATCTGCCTCTGAAATGAATATAGTTTTAATTGATTTCTTAAGTTGCATAATGAAGTTGTTGATGCTAAAAATGTTAGTATAAGGACAACTTAAAAGCCAATTTTTTGCTATTTCTATTTCAGAAAAAACATTAAAGAATCGATATAATTTTTACCAGAAAATTCATTATCTCAAGTATACAGTTTAAGAATTGATTAATGGTTAATAATAAGGTTAAAGTTTATTAGTAAAAACTTGCTCTAAAAGTAAGAGAAAAGAGTTTAAAAGATTTTGTTTTATTCAGTGAGTTGAATATTAATAGGATCAAATGAATTAAGTTTTTTACAGCAATAATATTTAACTAATATTTCTCAGAATAATATAGATTATATTATATTTTAGCAAAGCTTTCAATTTAATTTTTAAGTTATATAATATTATTATAATTTTAGTAGCAATTTTTAAATTTTTGTAAATATACTTCACATATATACTAACTTAGGAAAAAATATAATACCATGATACCCAAGCTAAGTGGTCCTTACTGTCATGGTCCTTCAGGATACCACTAATATCCTAATCTACTTTAAACTTGCAAAATAAAAAAATACACATCTTTTCCTTTAAATTCAGTTCAGTTTCTCAAAATATCAGTAATGATATCTATTAAAAGAAAACAAGATATTAGTTAACAGTGTGAATTTTTTATTTAGGATAAAGGAAGGTACATAGCTAATTCTTTATTGAGAACTAACAGACCTTTAACAATAACAAACTTAAGACTAACTTAGAAAAAAAAATAATACCATGATACCCAAGCTAAGTGGTCTTTACTATCATAGTTCTTCAGGATACCACTAATATCCTAAGCTACCCTAAGCTTGCAAAATAAAAAAATACACACCTTTTCCTTTAAATTCAGTTTCTCAAAATAGCAGTAATAATATCTATTAAAGAAAACAAGATATTAGTTAACAGTGTGAATTTTTTATTTAGGATAAAGGAAGGTACATAGCTAATTCTTTATTGAGAACTAACAGACCTTTAACAACAACAAAATTAAGATTAACTTAGGAAAAAAAATGATACCATGATACCCAAACTAAATGGTCCTTACTGTCATGGTCCTTCAGAATACCACTAATATCCTAAGATAAACAAAGCTTGCAAAATAAAAAAATACACACCTTTTTCATTAAATTCAGTTCAGTTTCTCAGCTTCTTTTAAATATTTAAATGGATAATGAAGTAGTAATGATATCAAGAACAGGTATAAAGATCCTTGTATGATATAATGTATATGAAAAGAATTAAAAAATATTATTGCAAAAATTTTTTGCATTTTGAAAAAAAAATATTTTGGAAAAAATTTACTTTTGCATTTTGGAAAAAAATATTTTGGAATGAAAAGAATTAAAAATGTTATTGCAAAAATTTAATTTTTGCATTTTGAAAAAAAAATATTTTGGAAAAAAAAAAAAAATTACAAAAAAAAATTTTACAGGGCTTTAAATAAAAAAAAAATTTGCTCTTACTCATTTTTAATAATTATGAGTCAATGCTGCATTTACATTTAAAAATTACTGTTAGATGATAATCTTTCTATTATTTTTTATTATTATTTAACTCGTAGTTACACTAACATTTTTTATTAATGACTCATAGTTAAATGATAATCTTTATAGTTATACCAATATTTTTTCACAGTTAAATGATAATCTTTCTATTGTTTACTTATAGTTACACAAATATTTTTTATTAATGATTCATAATTTTTCTATTGTTTTTCATTATTATTTATAGTTACACCAATATTTTTTATTAATAACTCGTAGTTAAATGATAATCTTTCTATGTATTTCATTATTACTCATAGTTATACTAATATTTTTTATTATTTTTTTTACATATGATTACTATATGAAATATACAATACTAATAAATTTGTTTTATTGTTTGTAGCAGAGACTTTTCTGTATTTTTTATTACAAAAAAATATCTAATTTATCATAAAAATCAATAAAGTAATGATGCTTTTATACAATTATACCTATAATAAAATGAATTAAATAGTATTTTTATTAATGAAAAATCATTTAAAAGATTCTATAATTTCTAATCTATCAGTATGTTGAAATGTAATTATTTTAGAATCAATATTGTGTGATTAACAATATAAGATTCTATTATTGTTATCATTGTCCAAAAATTATTCTTATAAGATTTTTTTTATAAGATTTTATTTTTTTCAAAAATTCTCTGAAAGTCAAATTATAGAATCTAATAAAAAGAATACAAAGTATTTAAAATATTAATAAAGTTTTATCTATAATTCAGATTAGTATAGCCAAATCTTGATATAGCGAACCCTTGATATAATGAATTTTTCAGACAATTATAATAAATTTCCTCTCGTTATAATGAATTAACCAATCAAATCTCTTAAAATCTTCACTATAACCTTATAGCCAGGGTTGTGGTAGTACACCTGTACTAGCAAAATTCTAGTACGTACTGTACTAGCAAAAATTTTGTACAAGTACTAAGTACACTGTACTAATACAATTATTACTTTTTAGGATATAATTTAACCATTTTAGGTAGATATCATGTGATCAATATTGTTTATATTTATAAAATTAACCAATAAAATTTATTAATAGTATGTACTAAAATTGTATTTGTACTAAATTTTCAAGTACAAGTACAGTACTTAGTACTGTACTATACTGTACTAGTACTGTACTAGTACAATTCCTAACCCTGCTTATAGTGAAGTTGAAGTCTGAATCCTAGGGTTTGTTATAACAAGGTTAACTGTATTCTACATGAATTAAACTTTCCTTTACAGATTTAATTTAATTTGAATCTTAAAATAAATTTTAAATCTGAATTCAATCAAATTATTCTAATTGTAATTTGATTTGAATTTAATTTGAATAATTTGAATCTGATTCAATTTAGTGATTTAATTTAATTCAATTTAATTTAATTTGAATTTGATTTGAATAATTTGAATTAATTTAAATTTGAATTTGAATTGATTTGAATTTGATAAATAAAAATTATTGAATCAAATTAAATAAATTCAAATTGATTCAAATTAATTGTAAAATACTATATAAAACTAATATTATTAATGGTCCAGTTCAGTCTAATTTAAAGTTAAAATTAAACCAAACTGATTGATCAAATTAAATTAATAGAATTATTATTACTATTTGCAAAATAGTTGATTTTAATATTGATCATATTACAATAATTTTTTAAGTTACATTGATCACAATTTTTTCTCTCATATAAAACTTTTTCTTTAATAATCTGATTATAATTTTTTTTTATATATTTCAATAAATAATTCTTTTACAAATTATATACTATAAACTTGAAGTCTTTTTATTAGAAACAACCTGATGTATTTGCTGTTAAACTTTTAGATCACACTTTAAAATATACTTTAAATCATAAATCACACTTTAATTATACTTTCTTAAATTATATAAAATAGCATTAAAATAATACAATAAATATATTCTTTATTCTATTAAGAAATAATGAAATAAAATTTTAAATTTATATAGTGTATATATATATGTAAAAATTTGATATTATACTAAAATCTTTTTTAATTTACTAATAATTAAAATTTATATATTTTTTTTAATTTTAGAAATAAGAAACAAGATTAAATAATACTTACATTACTTTAATTATTGATAGGCTAACAATATATATAAATTTCTAAATAAATGTGATTATATAAAAAAATACTTTATTAATTTTTGTAATATTATAGTAATTTTTATTTTTAATTACTGAGGTTTCAATTAATTTTTATTATTACCTTTGATATTTATGCCGTCTGAAATGTATGTCAAGTTAACAGTGCAATGTAATACAACGATTTTTCAAAAAAAAATTAAATTGCAATTTTTTTTATTTAAAATAAAACCTTTAAATTTTTGCATTAGATGTATTTTCATCTGCTCTGCAAATTTACTTAGAGAATATATGGTGGTTTAGAAGGCCATTTTCGAGTTATTTAATAAAAACTGTTTTTAAAATCTACTTTTAAGACTTCCTTCCATTTATAAGCGAATTTTGTAAAACAGATGAAAATACATCTAATATGTAAATTTGAAAGCATTACATTAAAAAGAAAATCTTTTTGAACTTTCTGCGCCACACTACGCCATCATCTTTTCAGATTATTATTGGCTACGCCACACACCTGACACAATTTAGTTGTGGCGCAGAACGTGAGATAAATTTGAGACTGCGGGTTTGTTTTTTGAGGTGCAGCAAATATTACACTAATCCCTTTTTATAATAACGCAGAGTAATTGTTAGGATATAAAAAGGGTGGAATTCCTCGCGTCAAATTATAATCTTTCCACGCAACTTTCTGTTCATTAGCATTTTTTTTTTTAAAAAAAAAGAAAATACAAATAAATTAATAAATATATGAGCAGTCAACAAGGATTCGGTTTCAATCAAAGTTTTCCTTTTGGAAAAAAAAAAAAAAAAAAAAATAATTTTAGTTGCATTAGCATAAAAGCATTCACTTCTTTTATATAGATCGTAATACACTTTTTAATAAACTATCATAATTTTAACTTTTATGGAATAGTAAGATTCATTTTTTTTTCATTTTACCTTTATTAGGTGGTTTCCAGAACCCTGTTACAACGACATCCACAAATCAGGCATTCGGAACTTGGCAAAGTATGTATTAATATTGGTACAGCGATTTCAAAATTTTCAACGTAGATTTCTTTTGATTTTACTAATAATTAGGTCCCGGTTTCGGTCAACAAGCTCAAACATCTTTTGGAAATTTTGGTCAACCTGGACCTTCAACTGCATTTGGCGGATTCGGTCAACCACAACCACAAACTAGTTTTGGATTTGGGCCATCATCTGGAAGTGGATTTGGATTTCCGGGACCTTCAAGTGGGTTTAACACGCAGCAAAATGCTGCTCCATTCGGTATTCCAGGTCCTTCCAGCGCAACTAGTCAAGGTATGATGTTTATTAATGCTTGTTATTAATCAACTGTAAATTATTAATATTTTACTCATTTGATAGGTACTGTGTCATCAGTGCCAAACATAGATCCACGATTGACGGGTACTCGAGAACCAAAATTTGAACCATTCAAAGATAACGAACCAACAGGACTTCAAATATACCAGAGCATGACAGCTATGAAAGAATATCGTAAATGGTCTTCTGAGGTTAAAATCTCTATATTTTTTTTAATTAATTTTCGTAACGGAATATTGATTCATATTTTATGTTTTAGGAATTGCGATTATATGATTACGAACTTAATCGTCGTCCTGGAGTTCAACAACCACAAATAACTCAACCTGCACAAACCGTGCCACCTACTATAAATACGAAAACAACAATACCGTTTCAATTTCCACAGCAACAACAGCAACAGCAACAACAACAGCAACAACAACAACAACAGCAACAACAACAACAACCATTTTACCAACAGCAATTCCCGCAACAACCACAACAACCACAACAACCACAACCACAACAACCACTACAACCACTACAACCACTACAACCATTTCTTCAACAGCCATTCGCACAGCCACAACCACAAAATGTACAAACACCTTTCGTACAACCATTTACGCAACAACCAACTACACAATCACAATTTCCTTTTCAACAAGCTCCAACCACGATAGGGACTTTGAATCCGTTTAACTACCAATATACTGGTAGTCTTTATTATAGGTTACATGGAACTAACAGTTCTCCACCGCTTGTGTTTGAAACAAAACTCAAACTAAAAGCTGACAAGGGCAAAGGTAAGGGTGAGTACGTATTGTTAATCGTTCGAAATTTATGATAAATAGATTATTTATTTATTTCCTTTTTAAAGAATTTCAATCACAACAACAGCTTGGGACAACAACAGGACCTTCAAGCGCGATCCCGAATTTTTCATTCGTTGGAGCAATTGGTGATATGTCTAAAACGTCAGGGGAAAGCCAAATTCCGAAGACGGCCTTGGTTTCAACATTCTCAGCACCTAGTGCGCTACAAACTACAACCACTACTCAATCTTCTTCTACATCGACTCTCACAGCCCCCATAATAACAACATCAAATACTGTTGTCACGACAAAGCCTGCTATTACGGCAGGACTAACAAAACTGTCAAATACAGGACCTTCTGTTACGAATGAACAGCCAAAAGATGATTCTGAAGATGAGGTGGAGTTCTTTACAGAGAAGAAGACCCGTACAACTCCACTTTCTCCTGAGGATGAAAAGATCCTTAAAAAGTCGGATTTCCCTCGTAGGAAAAAAAGAGAGCCAATTTATCATAATGGAATTTTTTCAAAAGATGATATCAAGGAACCAACATGGGGATACCAAAAATCTTACAGAAGGATTGTTCCTAATATAAATGATATTGGTAATTCTAAGAAAGACTTACTGGAACAACTTAAGATCAGAGACAAACCTATTGCTACTTCAAAAAGCCTTACAAACACGACGGAAGCTAATAAAAAGAAAGTGCCGGGTTCAGAGGTCCCTCCAGAGAGTGATGTAGAAGCTCGACTTGTATACGAGTTACTTCTCAAACCACGGCGGGATGGACCATACGCATATAGAGGGGAATATGATGGTACTTGGTCTCCCCTTTATGGGGATGGGAGAGATGAAAAGCCAAAGTTGGAACCTTTGAGATGGAAACAACAATCATATTATAAAGAATATGTTAAAGATGTTAAAAGAACAAAATTTCCAATTACAGAAGAAAGATATGAAGCTCCTAGTTGGTGGGATAAGCATCCTTATAAACCAGTTCCAAAAGAGTTAACTAAAGATATGGACCAATACGATCTTTCCCGAGAGGCTTTTGCTGAAGATATTGTGACGAAGATGGGACTTAGACCTGATCCTCCAAAAGGTAAAGCTTTTAGTGTTTTAAAGAAATATTTAATAATAATGAATTTAACTAATTTTAATTTAATTTTTGCTTTTATTAGTTCAAATTGACGCACTTAGTAAACACGTAACTGTAAAACTTGTCCGCGTACAGAAAAAGCCCGCCGAATGGACAGAAACCAAAATAGTCGCTGAACCTTGCAACTGCTGTAATACAGTTGTTCAAAAATCCAAGGAAGAGAAAATGTTCTTTCACAAACTTTATAATCCGCGTAAGTAATGATTTATCATTTGATTTTTGAAGTTTTTATTAAATCTGATTTACATACTCTTTTTAAAATATAGTTGTTGGAGGTTTCGAATCACAACCACTAAATCAACCTTGGGTTTTCGTATATGCGGCATTACCCGGAGAGTTTGAAGACCGTACTCCAACTTACGCTGAGTTGCTTAATAAATATAAATCAGGCATTCCTCAGCGCAACATGTATATTCTTGATGAACCGCCAAGGATGCCACGAATCGATTTGAGCAACATTATCGAGGGAGAGATTGAATTTTCCAAAATCGTGAAGGAAGATGTTCATAAAATTTGTCATCAAGATAAAAAATGTGATTGTCCGTATGCGAAGAAAGAACCAGAAGTAAAACAATCACCGACCATACCAAGATCACATTTCTATTGTTATGAGCGTCTTGGCAAAAAACCTAGAGAAAACAAGCCAACTACCTTTGAAATGATCCATGGGTATCAACCCTTTAGCAAGCAAAAGACTCCTGAGACCGATGAGAACAAACCTACTAAACAACATCGGATTCTCGTTCCTCCTCAAGATTGTGATGAATTTTAAATAAAAAATTCGCTTTTTTTGGGCAGCAAATGGTACTGACATCCTTGTCGTGCAGCCTGGGTACAAAAATAGCGACAGGTACCAATATAAACATTTGTAAAATAAATTAAAAAGACAAATTAGAAATTTAAACGTAAAAGACGAACGAATATTTCTTTTATTACGATAATTTTATAATTTTGAAACGTCACGTGAAATATTATGATAATCGTTAATTAAAAAAAGATTTTCATATAAACTTTTTTTTATAACAAACGGTTTGAGCAAAAAATAATGTTAAGACCTACGCGTTCATTATTTCAAAGAACAATGATGTTCGTTCGTCAAATAACCCTTGTAACTAGTAATAATAATAATACTCTTCTCTTTAATGGGACGAATGGAATGAGAATTTTACCAACATTTATTATGGTACATTGTTAGACTTGCTTTGTCACTTTCATTTGAAATTTTTTGATTAATTTAAACGAATATTGTATTATCTGAAAGGAACATGTTAGAAGAAGAAACATACACCATGGACAACCATTTAGAGAATATCCCGGTGAATGGATTTGTGGCGAATGTGGTTTTAAAAATTTTTCTTATAGAACTAAATGTTTTAAATGTGATAGTAAACCTAAATATCGTAAAGTAGCTGCAGGAGACTGGATATGCTCCAAATGTGAATTTTATAATTTTAAATCTAGAAAGTTATGTTTTAAATGTAATACACCTTCTCCTGATACGGATAAAAACGAAGAAATTCTCGAAGGGAATTTTAATTAGTTCAGTACTTTTTCGTTTGATTAATTTAATAAAATAAATATACCTTATATACAGTTATTAAATTACAAATTTGTCAAATATGATTATGAGTCTTTTATATAAAAATCATTCCGATTTAATCTACACTACTTATAATTTTTAATTTATCCTTTTTGAATTAATCCTTTTCATTTCTTTCATCAGAAAGATTTTTATCATTTCCATTTCCATTATTTCCATTAGGTTCATTATTAGTTCCATCATTGTCATCTCCACCGTCAACCCAAACTTCTATAGCCTTTTTTACATTATCTTGCATAATATGAACTGCATCCATACGTTGTACGCTTTCATAAAATCTCTTAAAAAAGGAAGTCTGAGTTCCATCACTCCATGATTCTAAATATCTTTTTGCAAATTGATATCCAGGAGTAAAAGCGCGTTTTATTATTCGCATTGCTACAAAATAACATTGTAATTAAAAATTAGAAATAATTTGACTTAGAAACAGAATTTTTTTTTTTGTATAAATTTTTAGAGTGAACAAGAAATTACTAACTTTCTGATTTGGTTTTCTCAAATTTTTCACCAAGATCTAGTTCATATTCTTCTCTGTAAATAAATAACAAAAATATTAATAATTCACATGCAAACATAGATATGTATATTCAAAATATTATACTAACGGATTATTCTGGATCCATGTGGATCGATTTGAAATTTCATCATACTTCATACCTAAGTAAAAGAAAGAAAGTAAATAACAATCTAATCGTGTAAACAATCGACCCTGATAGAGTTATCATATAATACCTTCAGTATGTTTCTGGCATATTTCCAATCCTTTTATATAATACAAATAATATCCATCCAGAAAATTTCTTGGTACTTTACGTTCTTCTCCATTTTCATCTTTAATACATAATACTTGAGCAACATTTTTAACTTCATGTTTGTTATGATGATCATTTAATTCTTCTTTAACCACTATTCTTTTTTTTAATAAATCATTCTTGAATTGATTATTAAATTTTCTAAAACATAACATTCTACATTCCGGTATAATCGATTTATCACGATTTAAATCATTTTGTTTACACCATTGAATACAAAATTCATCCCATTTTGGTTGTGGTGGGGATGATTCCAATTCATTATTATAATCCCTATTTGGTGGTATAGTAGAAGGATTAGTGAGTGGACTTATATAAATATTTCTAAAATTTGTTCGAAAATTAAAAATTGGTAGTGTTATAGGCTGGGCTGGTAATGTATCAGGCGGTTGTGAATTGTCTTCTTCGACGTCAGGAGGAATAGAATTATCTGGTAATTCATATTGTTGTTCTTCCTCCGTCTTGTCTTGAGTTTTTGAACTAGTAGGAATAGTCATTTTGTAATTAATTCAAGGAACAAAATTTTTGACTTAGCACAGATTTTATATAGTTAATATAATCACGTGAAGATGGTAAAATTTTATTGGTATTAGCAAATTGTACTATTTTTTAGCAGTGTAATAATTTGTATAATTTGTATATACTTAAAAAAAACTTCCTTTAATTAAGAGGAGTATTTATATACAATTATGTAATGATAAAACCAATAATTTATAGAAAAAAAGAACGAATCGAAGGGAAATCTATATAGAGGTGAAAACAAAAATAATATACATGATTTTCTTACATTTTTTTTTAACAAAAAAAAATCAACCTAAAGCCTTTTTTAAATCATTCCATTTCCTTTGTAATACTTCTCTTTCATTTTCACTTTCAGCATATCTCATTTTACTTTCAATTAACATATTTTCTAAATTTGCTAATTGATCTTCCAAGAGATTATTCTTTTGTACAAGACTAATATTTTTTTTGGCTAAAATATTCATTTCTTCCCTTAATTTAGCTTCGATTTCTGCTGGTTGAAGTTCAACTATTTTGTGTAATTCTTCTACTGTTGAATGTAGTTCTTTATTTTCATCATTTGATTTTGCTAACTCCATTCTAGTATTAATTAGTTCATTAGCTAATTCTACGTGTTCTCTATTAAGTGTTTGTAGACTACCTTCTAATTGTTTGACACGACTTGATAATTGAATGTTATTTGACCGTAATTTTTCTATTGCTTCAGCTTCTGCTAATAACTTTCTTTTTTCAGCTTCTTGATGTGCATAATATGCCTGTTGATATTTATTTAACTTTTTAGGAGTAATCCGTATATCATATGCATCTTTAACAAAATCGTTAGTATGATATTGTGTTTCTTTGACCAGTTGAGCTAAAACTCCGGTATGGTTAATCTGATGAAAAAAGTTTTAAGTTAGAGAAAAAAAAAAAGAAATAATAATAATAACAATAAAATTACTATTATATAAACCTGATAATTTTCAAATAATCCACTTTTTAAATATTCTAAAAGTGTTTCAAATTCCATTTCTACAATTCTTTTTTCATTTTTCTTTAAAAGTGCAATACTAAATCGAAATATAGCTTCAATTCCCTCCGTGAAAATAGTATCATATATCCTAAAAACTAAAGATAAAGGGAATTTATATGCAAAAAGTGTCATAAACCATTGTGAAGCATACATTGAAGAATTTATTCCTTGTGCCTGTAAGTGATTGTGAACTTTAGGAAGCATTTCTTCAACAAGTCGATCAAATTGATAAAGACGAAGCTGCAAACCGTCCATTCCGGGCAAAAAGTGACTTCGCATATTATAAAATGTCATTAATTTAACAAGTACACAGAACGCTTCTTCATCAGGCATCTACATACAAACATATAATAAATTAATGAAGGGACAATTAATTTTTTTTCTCTCTTTTTTTTTTTAAAAAAAAAAAAGCCAAGACTTACATTTAAAAGCAAAGGTCCAACAACAAAGGATATTCCTTGGCAATATCCAACTTCTGTATCATAAAGTGAGTATGCCTTTACTACATTGAATAATCCTTCTTGTCCTAAACCGTCTTGGTCTTTAAAAAATTCATGTTTAGGAAAAGTCCTATTTAAATCTCTCATTATCATTTTTTCGTGAGTACTTGTTTCCTTTAACAATTGTGCATAAGTTGACTCTAATTCACTGTCTTTAGATTTTGACATAAGTTGCCATATCATACCACGCAAAGCTTGCGGAATCCCTTTCTGAATCATTTTTGATAATTGACGCGGCTGTGTCCTTGCAACTGTTTCATAATCAGAAATTATTTGACCCCAAAAGTCTAAAAAAGCAAAGAAAGAATAATTATAAAATTGCTTAAATTTTAATAACCATAAATTACATAAATTAATAATTTACCCCAATCAATATCGTCGTCTATCTGGGCTTCATGTTGCACACGTTCGAAGCTAGCCTTTAATTCGGCAATCCCTTGTAGAGACATTCTTTTTGCTTTTGGGTCTTCTTGTAAAAGTTGGTTTTCCCTTTCAAGCCTTGCTAATAATAAATCATAATTAGAACCAGTAGATGTCATTGATACAGTTGACATACGACGGGAATCACTGCTACTGCTACTTTTTGATGATGTTGAAGTAACAGTAGAAGTGGTTGAACGTGGACTAAAAAAAGTGGAAATTGATTTTAACGAAGTGGGTGTTTTTGGGAAACCCCAATCAGAAAGATGCCATTCTTTAGGTGAATCATGAACATTTGAAGATTCATCATCTAAAGAAATATCATTTAATTCTGGATTCTCCCTAAGAGAGGCTACAGAAATACGATTTAAAGCATTTTTTTCTAAAATTGTATTTTTGTCTTCTCTCCCATTCGTAAGGTCGACTGATTGATACATTGAAATCGAAGAAAAACTACTAGGTTTTGAGGTAAAAGATTCGGTCATTGAATCTCTTACACTTTGATTGTATTCAGAAGAAAATGAAGAAAAACTGGTATTAATTGGCAAAATTCCCGGTTTATGATCCGGAATATTTTGCAGATTTTTTCCATTAAAATTAATGTTATCTGATTTCTTATTTTCAAATTCCGCCGAAGATTCTAATATTACTTTATCATCAACAATAGTTTCTGAAATAATTTCTGTAGGAGAATTCTCCACCAATTTCTTATTAAGCTTATCGCTTTTTTCTTCTGTTTTATTATTTTCACCAGATTTGTCTTCAGTTTCTTCTGAGGAACTATTTGAAGTCTTTTCTATCAAATTATTAACATTTTTATCCAAAGATTTACCTAATTTATCCTCACCGGAATCATCTTCGGATTTATCAAGTGTACTGGGCAATACCTCTTCAAGGGAGCTTTCAACTTCAGTCGTTACGATATCCAATTTCTCTTTACCGGAATCGGTACTTATTTTATCTTGGTCTATGGATCTAAAAATTTTTTCACCATTTTCTAATTCATCTTTTTCATATGATGTATCACTTTCGTGGTCAGAAACATTAAAATTTTCTTTTTCTGATACATCTGTTTGAAAAGAATCGGTACTAGAAGTACGGCTTGCATTCTCACGTCTTGATTGTGCTGTAATTGGTGAAATAACTATATCAGTTTTTTCATCAGTTTTTTTTTCATTTGAAACTTCACCACTTGAAGACGTATTAGAAATAGAATTTTGACCTTGGTCATGATAAGTGATAGAAGCAGTAGTATTTTCAACTTCATTCTCCCCAGTTGAAATTTCAGTTCTTGATTCTACATTTGATGAAATTTCGGGTTTTTCGTCAACACTTGAAACGTCATCATTTGAAGACACACAAGAAATTAAAGTTTGACCTTGAACTTCAGAAGAAATATTAGTATTATTGTCAACTTTTTTTTCTTGGGTTAAATCAATTTCCTTTTGTTCTGATTCTTCATAATCACTTTCGTAATTTGAAGTGTAATCATTATAATCATACGGATCATTCTCTTCAACATCAACTTGACTACCGTAAGCATCGGCAAAATTGTCAACCTCGGAATCATTTTCTTCGTCAAGTGTAATATGTTTAAAGTTTGAATTTGTTGGAACCTCAGTAATAGCATGTTCATTTTTTGTCGGTTCAATAGTTCCTTTATCAATTTCTGTCATCTTGTCTTTATATTAAGTTGTTAAACTTTTAAACTAGTCAAATATAAATTTATGAATAAAATGTTGGTTGGCAATCAAAAGACCCAAGCTCTTGTTGCATACCAAATGGTAATGGGAAATATAATTTTAAGAAAAATTAAAATTGGGTAAATTAATTTGTATATATGGTGTATGTATGTAAAGAGAATGGATATGTTGGAGGAAAAATAAAACCGAATATAATAGGAAAATGTTTCGAAGTTTTTTTTTTTATATATAATTTTTTCATCATCATACAATGCACTTATTTGGAAATTGCATTCTTGCATGGTATTGCCATAATTTTCTTTAATGTAAATAATGTAACAAAGTATTTTATGATTTAAACCGGGTAACGATTGACCTGTTAGTACTTAGTATATGTATGTAATTCAAGTAATTCAGTTATTTATTTTATTTATTTATTTTATGTGAAGTTCAAGTAATTCAGTTATATTATATTAAAAATATCATTAAAAGCTTATTCGTTAATCACGTGATTCTACTGCTCCTTACCCGTGTGATTTCCGATTCGTGTATTGTGTCAAAAGTAATACTTTAAAATTCTTTTTACATGTGAATATGATCACGTTAAAATGAAACAGGTTGCCACAAGATATAGAAAACCTATTGATCGTAAATTTGTTAATTATAATTAAAAAATCGAACACTAATAACTAATTTGGAAATTTAAATTTAAGAAATTGATTGTAAGAATGGTAAAAATTGATCTAAATCTTATAAAATATATTAATACATCTCATAAATCAATTTTGATTGGAGGTACTCGGTATGCGCCTCATTACATAACTTTTAAAATTAGTACCAGTTTTTTATTAATATTCAAAGGTTCAGGAAGAAGTATAGTTATTTCTAATTTTATAACAATTACCCTTTATAAAATACTTCCCCTTTTTTGGAGTCTCCATCTGTATTTCTGGTAATATCAAAACGCTTATAGCTGCGTGTATCAACAAAAAAGCGTTTTCTAAAAGAAATGCTATTATCATCTGTAGACTTAGAAACTGAAAATGATTTAGAAAAAAGAGCACCTGTTGAAACTGTGAATACTTCTGGAAGTTTTTCCTCGAGAACTTCTTCAGATCTTTTGAATAGTGAAAATGGAAGTTCTCGACGTTTGCTCGTTTCTTCAAATACAGTATCTTCTACAATGTTTGAACGAATTCGTGGACAAACGAAAAATGAATATGTAGAAGTTTATACAAATGACGATGATTCGGATACTGAATCGGTTATAGAGTCAAAAAAGCAAAAAATACTGGACACAACTGAAGTGAAGAGTGAACATAGTTTGGCTTATGAGGTATATATTTTTTGTTTTGTATATATTTATCTATATTATGCTAACTTATAATTATTAGGCAGTTCCTCCTTTACTTGTATCAGTGGCTGGTTTAATGTCAGCTGGATGGCTTTTAGATGTCGTTCAAGTAGGTGATCAATAACCCTCGTAATTGGTTCACATTTAATATAACTAACATTAACTTTACAATTAGTATTGGCCTGTTTTTACCAAAGTTACAGAATTATTTGTCTTGGTGCCAGTATTGTTAAATTTAAAGGGAAATCTTGAGATGAATTTGGCATCTCGGTTATCCACATTGGTATGAATAAAATGGAATATACACTCTACATATAGAATTAATGTAATTTCTAACGTGATATATTTGAATGTACTAAAAGTCGAACTTAGGAGAATTAGATAAACCATCTGTTCGATACGCGTTGGTTTGGGGTAATTTAGCAGTTCTTCAAGTTCAATCTCTGATCGTTGGTGCAGTTGCTGGATTGTTTTCATTTCTCGAAGGAGTCGTATTTCATTCAGATCATGTGAGTACATTTCATGAGAGTATTCTCGTAATAGTTGCCTCAATGGTTTGCGCAGCATTAAGTAGCATGATATTGGGAACTTTCATGTGCGTTCTAATAATACTATGTAGGCGTTTTCGGATTAACCCCGGTAGGTTTCTTCTTTATTTCTTCCTATTTAAATTCAAGGTTGAATCTAAATATACTTAAACAATTAAAAGATAACATTGCATGTCCAATGGCTTCGTCGCTTGGTGATTTGCTTACTTTAATTATTCTTGCGACTTGTGGCGAAATCTTATTGCAATATCTTCGTAAGTAAAAAAAATTTTCCTATTCGCAACAAATATTGCGTACGCGATAGATATTTATGTAGGATTATAATTTTAGACACATATGTCAGCACTGCAATGTTTCTCATACTTGCAGCAAGTATTCCTCTATGGGTGCGTTTTGTATGGTCGAATCCAACCGTTCATGACTTATTAGTAAGTGGGTGGAGTCCGTTATTCATGGCTATGGTTATTGCAAGGTGTGTAATCATCGCGATTTTAGTTCAAGTATATGTTTCCATGTGATGTTAACATAATTTTATTCACAGCATGGCTGGCTTGGTTTTAGAGCGTTATATTGAACATTATAATGGACTTGCACTTCTAACTCCTGTATTAAATGGTATTGCTGGTAATTTAGGATCTATTTACGCGTCAAGAATTTCAACTCGTCTTCATAGTGGTGAAGAAGAAAATTATCGTCACTCGGAAATCGTATTATTCCTAATTCATATACCAATTGAAATTGTATTTTTAATATTTGCTTGGTGGTTCGATATTGGACATGTGAATCTTTCTTGGAGTTTTTCTATTACTTATTTATTTGTTTCGATAATATGTGTATGTAGTAAATGAAATTATTTTTTTGTTTGTTTCTTACTGTAAGATCGAGTTTGTAATTAATCTAATCAATTTATACAGGTTGCATTTACCCTTTTTCTTTCTAAAATGTTGACCCTTTGGTTATGGCATAATGAATATGATCCCGATAATTATTCATTACCATACATGTGAGTATAAATCCGGTAAAAGAAGTAAATAAATATTTTAATAATTTACTAACATAGATCTTAATTTAACCATTATAGAACCGCTATTGTTGATGTCGTAGGTACTGGATTATTAGCGTTTTCGTATTGGGGATTATCTGAAATAGGACTCCATGTTGAAAATCATATAAAAAAACCTCACCATTAATGTTATTAATATTTAATTTATAGATTTGAACAATGTAAAAATTAGAATATTTTAATGTTTGGCCAAATTACTTAAATTAATCGATTTTTTGTAGATATAGTTAGAGAAATAATTCGAGTTTTTCATTTTTATTTGAAATAATAATGTTTTGGATTGTATGGACAGACACAAAAAGTTTACTATTTTCAATTTGTTTATGAACCATTAATTATACATACAAACCTCCTGTTCAATCACCGAATCTGGCTTTATAAGTAATTCAATAGCCGATTTGGTACGCAAATGGAGAATATTAATTCCTAAAAATTGTTAGTTTTGATCATGAAGTAAAATCACTATTGAGGATTTGACCTCGCGATTTTTACATGATTTTGATTTATTATTATTTTTTGGAAACAATTTAAAGCAAAATAGAATTACGCATAGTCGCATACAGTCAATTGTACACAGCGAATCAAAAATTTCCTATTAAAGACCCGCCTTCTATTTTTTAAAATGGATTTATTGTCTCAGTGCAAAATTGATAGTAATAAAAATTCTTTATGAAATTTAGCGATGTAAAAATGAGCTTCAGAAATAGGGTTGATTTATTTTATCAGGGCCCCGGAAACTCTGTAGCATAAAGTATCACATGATGGTCATCTTTTGTTTAAAAATAAAAATGTTATGTCGGATAAATAAAATTGTTTTAATATGATAAAAGGAGGACAGTGTTCTATTTGTAAATCCAGGAAATGGTTTTATGACAATTTAGGAGGTTTAGTATGTCAGTATGGGCACCAACGTGAGGTACGTTGGAATTGAAAAAATTTTATTAGGCATAGTAAAAAGTTTAGTGATATAACAGTTTTATGATACACCTTTATTTTAGAGTTATTTGGTACAAGAAAATGAAGTTATTGACCCTGGACAAGGAGGAACAAAGAAACGTAATAGAGTAAAAAAAAATGAAAAAGCTGCTGTTGTAGGTAAATTTATTTAATAGACAAATCATTTTAATGACTTGAACAAAATACTAAGCAAAAATTATTTGATCTATTCAATTTTTAATTAAATAGAGAAAAGGTACGCATATGATAATGAAAAAGATTGGCTTTGGATCGAATTTGTTGCAGTTCAATTCGTACTTCGACTTCATGTACAAACAATGATTCAAGATATGAGAGTTACTCCACAGCTTGAGGTAAGTTGAGTTGTTTTAAAAATAAAAAGTAATACAACTTTTTCTTAATTTAATTCATTACTAAATCATTAATGTACAGCATGTTTGTAAACATTTATGGATAATGTACGTGAATAAATTCAACAATATCGATAAAATCCGATCAAAAAATACTCCTGCGGTTCAAACAGAGTCAATGGATGTTGATGTCGATAATAATGGTAATTCTCCAAATATACAATATCAAGAAGAAGAAGAGAAAGATGATCAAGATGATATTGAAGCATTGTTTGAAATTCCTCCAAGCTCCTCGGATGAAGATTATGGTGAATTTGGTGATGCTACGACAACTAGAAAAAAACATAAAAAATCAACAAGAAAAACTGGACATGAAGAAATTATAAATGTATTAAGAGTACAATATGTTTTAGCTATTTTACATCTTGGTTGTGTATGGTTAAGATTACCTATATTAATTGCCGATTTAAATCGGTAAGTGATCTAATTATATTTGAGACTATGTGAAATTTAAATATACGCGTGTCTGAATTTTTTTTCGATTTAGGTGGATACATAATAATACTTTACAATTTAATTCGGCACGTAAACATTTGCCTAATAATATAAAATTACATCTTGGATCTCGAATTAATAGACTCGAACCTAAAGTTAGTTATTCGTCCTTTAATTCTAAACTTTCTATGGAAAGCTTTGTAATATCAACGATCAAACCTTAACATATTTATAGTATTTAATAACATGTAAAAGGTTATTTGGCTTAGAAGCGAAATTTCTAGATTTTTATAAAAGTGAATACGGAATATGTTTTCCAGAAATTAATGCACCACTTGTACTTTATCGTTACATTAAAGATTTAATGTTACCAGGTATCAATTATATCTTACTTTATTACAGTTATAAATTTTAAACAAGATTAATTAACTAATGTTTGGTTATTTATTAAATATATAGTGGAATTTTATGTTGCTTCTAAGGAACTTGCACAATTAATTAACTTAAAACTTTTTTATGAATATAATTTAAATTATCGACCCCCAACATTATTAATGGCGATTGTTATTATTGTTACTAAAATGGTTTATGGTTTAGACGAAAATAGAAGGTTGGTATCAATGTAAGAATTTTTTTGTTGTATTATTATCTTTTTAAAAAAATCTTTGTTAGGTTTCCAGGGGAAAATGATCAATATGCTAAATATTTCCCTTCATTTGAAAGTTGGATAAAAGCTTTAAGTGACAGAAACGAAGCAGAATTTAAAAAAGAAGTTCCTAGTGATATGTCGTAAGTCATTTAGTTTACGTTTTAAATATATATACCAGGATTTCCTAATTATTTAGTATTATTATTTGACTAAAGCGATGTAAAAGAATGGATGGATATGAATCCAGATCAGTACATTCAATTTTGTGCTGACTTATTGGGAGACATAGATCGAGTGCCAAAACCACCTGAAAGGTCAAAAACGTCTCATCATATTGAACAAGAGAAGAAGTACACAGGTGCATAAAATCTTTAATTACATCGTCTTTTTTTACTATTAAACTAATTTAATTCGAAAATTTTTTTTTTTATAGAAATTGATGAAAGATCAAAACCATTTAAGATACTTAATGAGAAAAAAATTGTACAGGAAATTAAATCAAATAAATTTGAATCTGATTTGAACTTACTTATGGAAGAAAAAAGAGAATCAATTGATTTCAGAAGAAAAGGAGCACCTTCACTAGAAAAAATTTCTCCCGAAGAAAAACTTAAAATGCAATTTGAAAAATCGGAACTTGCAGAAAATTTTCGAATGTTAAAAACTAAAGATTTGGATAAAGTATATAAAAACCTTAGTTCAGCTAAGCCTATTGATGATGAATTAAAAATATTATATAATACAGCAGATTTCGATCGTAATGAATATAATCAATCAATATCATCTAGGGATATCCATCCTTCTATACAACTTGCCAACACTAACATTAGTATTGTGAAAGATGATGAAAAAATAAAGTTACCAAAGCCTTTAGATATATTACGCCGTAGATATTCAACTTTTTTATTTAAGAAACCCGAAGATCCTAAAGATTCAAGATTGTTTTTTGGAGAAAAATATACTGCTTATCAAATTCCGAATTCTAAGTCTGATTATGAAAAAAAAGTTCAATTATTAGGAGATTACCATGAAGATTATGAGAGAGTTCTAATCTTTGCTTCTAATATAATCGGAGAAACCATTGATGAATTACAAAATAATATCATGAAAATCGAGGTTGATTTATTAAAAGCTATCGAAAAAGAAGGATTATGAATAATTATCGTAGTAAAAAATAATAAAACTAGTATGTTCAAGTCTTTTATAAGAAATTCATTATTCATTCGTTTTATTTATTTTTTAAAATTAAAAGTATTAATATTTTTTTAGTTCAACTAATATGTCTATAATAAATGTAAATATCTTAATTATCTTAATTATATAAAATTAATTATCAGATTATCAGGGATATGAATTATGAAATAATGCTAAAATCTAAACATATACAATTGACAAAATACACGTTCGCACTAATATAAGTATTATTGTTTTGGTATCAAATAATGATCCAAAAAATTTATATATTTACATTAAACTGAATTTTCCCAAATAAAAACATTTACACAAAAATAAAAGTGGATTTTTCAAATTAGATATATATTTCGTTTTTACCTGGTTCTTTACCGCATTTACCATACTCTTCATTGAAAGTAACTTGATCTTTGTTGCCACGCAGAATGGCTCATTGGATAACCACCGTATTGTGGATAGTAAGGATACCCATAAGTTGGAGGATAACGTTGTGAAGGATGATAATAAGGAAGAACATGCGATGTTGGTCTTTGATAAGTCGTTTGATAACTAGTAGGCATAACTTGAGATGTTCCATATGACATTCGCATTTGAACTTGAGCACGAGGATAGGTCATTGAAGCAGAAATTGGTAATGAATGTGAAGTAGATGAAGTAGAATGATGTAATGGTTGCTGAGATATTGTTTGAGGTACTGAATGTGGTACTTGTGATAATACATCTTCGGATTTCATTTGTGTTGTTGCCCCATTTAAATCATTCCTTGTATACTCAGCTTCCATATCTTCTGATGATTTTTCTACTCCAGAGAAAGTACTAAAAGCATCACGAGAAACCTCGTTGGTATGATAAGCAAAAGATTTATCCGGTGGCAGCATACCTTTAAAAAATTTTTCTTTTGTTGGTAAATTATCCATAGTATATTCTATAGAATCAAATGACACAATATCAGAAGGCGCTACTTCCGATATTATACTAGCAAGTTTATCTCGTAGCTTATTTGCTATCATGAGAAAAGGATCAAAAGGTTAAATGAGCAAAATATAAATAAATAAATATGAAATATAAAAAGATTCATACCAAGTTCTCTTTCTTTTATAGAAACAACATTTGGATTATGTTTAGTTAATCTTTTTTCTTGCATTAATTGTAATTTCTTAAAGATTTCTACATTTTCATCTAAAATTTTATCAATGCCGGCTTTTCCATTGTTTACACACTTATACAATAATTCCAAATTTATGTTTTCAAATAATTTTTCATCATCCATAGTGTTGTTTTCTATAAAAATATCATCTCGTGAATCGTTTTGTTTGCTTAATGAGGCAAATTCAAAACTTTCCATTTGGCAAATTTTTTCACCTGAAATGTTTGTAGTGTTTGAAGTAATTTTAAGACTATCCATTTGGCTAATTTCTTCACCTGAATTGTTTTGCTTATTTGGTAAGGTAGTTTCAAGACTTTCCATTTGACTCGTTTCTATACCTGAATTATTTTGTTTGTTTGGTACAGTAGTTTCAAGATTTTCCATTTGGCTCATTTCTTCGTTTGAATTGTTTTGTTTGTTTGATAAGGTAGTTTCAAGACCTTCCATTTGACTCGTTTCTTCACTCGAATTGTTTTGTTTGTCTGGTAAGGTAGCTTCAAGGCCTTCCATTTGACTCATTTCTTCGTTTGAATTGTTTTGATTGCTTAGTACGGTAATTTCAAGACCTTCCATTTGGCTTATTTCTTCACTTGAATTATTTTGTTTATTTGGTAAGGTGGTTTCAAGACCTTCCGTTTGACTTATTTCCTCATTTGAATTGTTTTGTTTATTTGGTAAGGTAGTTTCAAGACCTTCAATTTGACTCACTTCTACACTTGAATTGTTCTGTTTATTTGGTAAAATATTTTCAAGATTTTCCATTTGACTCATTTCTTCATTTGAATTGTATTTTTTGTTTAGTAAAGTAGTTTCAAGATCTTCCATTTGACTCATTTCTTCATTTAAATTGTTTTGTTTATCTGGTAAAGTAATTTCAAGACCTTCCATTTGGCTCGTTTCTTCACCTGAATTGTTTTGTTTGCTTGATGAAGCAATTTCAAAACTTTCTGGCTGATTAGTTTCTTCAGGGTCAGAAACTACAACATCCTTGTCGGATAATTCTTCCTCACTTAAATCCGAGTCATCTGAATCATCTAATTCATTAATATTTTTTGAGATACGTAAATGTTTTTTATAAGAACGCGTCAAAATCGTATCTTCGTAAGATAACATTGCGGCACTCGAATCGTAAATTGGTGCGAATGATGCGTATGCCTTATACTTATGGAATTTAACTGGACATTGGACGTAAATATAAAAATTTTTTAGAAAAGTAATTAATTGTCTAATTGAAATATTGATCGAATACTAACCTCCTGGGACTTTGTGTTGATCAGACATAGGCAATTCAAATTCATGATTCACATTTTTTGGAAGGATCGAACCAAGTGTTGGAATTTCTTCTTCATTCATGGATTGCGAAGGCACTACTGCAATTTCTTGCAAATCACCGACTTAAAAAAAAATTCAAAACAAAATATTAATGGTAAAAAGTTTTAATCAATATTTTTAACAGACTAAATTTTGAAATAATAAATAGTTCACATTGTCGTTAACGACATTATTTGTAAATTATAGTTTTTTTAATTATACATATATATATATATATGTGAAAGTGTCGCTTTCAAAATCAGATGGGTTTGTGAATAAATTCCAAATAATAAAAATAATAATAATCACCTAATTGGAAAGAGTTATTTCCTTGTAGCTTTCCAATTGCACTACTTGAAAATACATGTCCATCTAAAGTTGGCTGAACAAGTGCAACTTTTCGGTGTCTTTTTGTAGCTGATTTTTTTTCCGGGAAAATTATATAAGTTAATTTATGAACTTAAAGATGTTAAAGAAATAAAGTAATAGCTTTACAAACATGTGCCTTTTGTTGCGTCAAAATTGTCGTCATGATCACAAAGTTGTCTTATACCACTTGGCAATTCCCCGTAGGCTTGTTCAAACAGCCGGTCCCCAAATTTAATAAATTTTATACCAGCATTATATTTTTCGGGATTAGCTTCTATAGCATCGTTGCATGTACAAGTAAAATCATCCTATCAAGGAGATTCTTAGTAATGCACATATTATATAAGAATTATATAAGAATCATACAAGAATAAAAATTCTCTACCTGAAATTCACTCAGACATTTGTATGCACGTTTAGAAATTTTAGTTCGAAAGAGGTTTGGGTTTAAAATTTGACCATTATTTCTCTTACACCCTATTTTCTTTGCACTTTGCAAAATTTTATCGGAATCATACCTATAAGAAGAAAGGTTTAAATTATACAAACCATTCCCTTTTTTTTTGGATTGAACAATCTAGTTATTATAACTTACATTTCTAATATATCCATTAATTTATTCATCAGTGTCAGAAATTTCTGGTAATCACTATACTCTATTACAAAGTTTCCGATTACCATTTGTGTTCCTCTAATTTCTATAACATCTTTAAAATTGTCAATAATCATTTCGATGTTATTATAAATGATGTCCTCGATGATCAAACAGTCTTCTTGTTTATGGATTTTATTCACAATTTCATCAACATTATCAATGCCATTCTTAATACCAGGTTGGACTATATCCCTACTTTCAATTCCATTTTGCAAAGATTCCAGATGAATACTATTTCTTCGAACACCATTATGAGTTGAAATATTCTCCAATTTAATCCCCATAATTTCAACATTGGATTGAACATCATTATCAATATCGAATTGATTATTGTTATATTCACCCATTGTTGAAAGTTTTGCTCGTTTAGATGGACTCGAAACCGATTCGTTATTTTCTAACTTTATAGAATCCACTATATTTGAATTTGAGTATGAAGGTGATAATCGTCTATCAATTTCATCATCTTTCTCGAGCGTATCAGTTTCATTGTTTGATCTTCGCTTTCGCTTCATATCAAACGCGAATAATTTTTGCTGTTCAAACTCGGCATTTTGGCTCCTTCTTGAACGTGTAGTAACTGCAGGTTTTCGTATTTGGGCAGATGTCGATGCTATTGACGCGCAACATACTTTAAAATTACGTCATCGAAAAAATTGAACAATGATAATAACCTTCATTATTTGGTAAATTTTGAAAATTCACTTACATGAACTAGTTCTTTGGTGCTGTCTCTTTACCATTATTGTTCTTAAAACGGTATGTAATCCTAATCGTAAAGAATTTCAAGTATTTTAAAGACGCAGGAAATGCTTTACGAAGAGATAAAAATATGATTCAAAGTGGTTCGACAATGTTCGTGTCTATACAAAAGTCGACAGTCGACTTTCGATCACGAATTCAAAATACGAACTAATAACGGGAATATTTAACATAGAATTTGAAATCCGCCGGTTACCAATTAATATAAATGAACTCTATTTCGGGATCTGATTCGCCGAGACAAAATAACAATAAGATCAGCAGAGGATGTACAACCGTAGTGCAAAGATTTTGGTCCTTCCGAATTAGGTAACATATGAAAAAAATTTTTTAAATTGGTATGATTGGTATGGATAATTTTTAGCCAAATTTGGTGCAACAATATAATTTTGCCCGAAATTATCTAATGGTTGCTTAAATTATATCTTTTCAAAAAAAACAAAATGGTTCGTTCGTTATTAATTAGTTCTCAAAAATTAGTTAAGCCAATTTCACGACATACTGTTTTTCCGGCAAATAATTTAAAGAGACAAAATCCGATAATAAATTCAACACGATTAAAGATTTTTTATTCCACTACAGCGATAAATACAACCACCAAAAAGTCTCAGCCACTACCGAGGCCTTTACCCGAAATTAAAAATAATACCACTCAATATGTCATTTTTGGAATAATTGGTGTCAGCTTTTGGGTTGGAGCTATAATTGCTTCATTTAATTATCAACGCTTGAATAGTAGCACTGTACAAGGAAGTCTGTTTAATTTAAAATATCATCCTAAAGCTTTAGAATTATTGGGGAAAAATATTAATTTCACTTCTGGTTTACCTTGGATTAAGGGAAGCATTAATCATTTAAAAGGCAAAGTAGATTTTCAATACACTGTTAAAGGTGATAAAGGTAATATGAAAAAACAAAATGAATATTTATTTATTGTATTATTACGAATTAATTATAATATCCTACTATATTAGGAAAAGGAAGTGTTCATTTTCGTTCTATCCGAGATTTACATGATCGTGAATGGAAAATTACAGAATTTACTTTAACTACTGAAGATGGAATAATTGTTCCATTGAATTTGGATGAATCATTATTGAATAGCTTAAAGTAACAAGCAATTTTGGTTTTTATTATAACTCATTCTATCTGAATACACAAATCAATGTGTTCGTTGATTTCATCTGCTTCGATTGAGTTATCCCCGCAAATTGGACATTGCACTGTAGATGTTTTGAATGAGGAGGCTTTATTGTTTATTGTTATGTTTCCACAATACTTTTCAGTTTCATCATCAAAAATTTGTATTGGTATGTTAATATCACTTCCTTGTTTCACTGTTGATGATTCAAAATAATCGAGAATACTACGTGCTTTTTTGCTAGGATCTTTTTCATCCAATATCACATTATCCTTGCTTATTTCATTTTCTATTTTACGTTTGCTTTTTTTGCCTTTACGTTCTTTTTTTTCCGAATGTTCTTCTTCCTTTTTGGGAGGTTCGGATACTTTAATAAATGTACCACCACAAGTTTCCTGATGAGTCTCAAACCAAGAGTCCGCTTTTTGCGGTTTTCTTTAAGTATAATAGTATTTTAGAGTGTTGAAAGATAAATTCCTTTTTTTTTTTTCTAACTAAGATAGCTACCTATTCATCGAACGTTTAACAATTCCATAATATGGTGGCTTATGTTGGCATGGTCCCTGAAATCAATATCAAATTAGATTTACCGGCCAGTATTCAAGACCATGTACCCCATTAATAAAAAAACTCACATTACATTTCCAAACGTGTGTCTTGTAATAATTGACTTCATCATGAAAATTGTGATAAACTGTGATATTCGTTCCAGCTGCAGCGTTTATGCGATGCATATGTTTATGGAATTCTGGACCGTGTCCAGCTTATAAAGAAAAAGTTTTTAAGAATGCAATTAATGTAAAGTAATATAATTATGAATATACCTACAACGATCTTGAATATTATGCGTGACAAAAAGATAAGCGTGAATCATTTCATGCAATAATGTTTCAATCATGTCCGATTGTGGGCGAAATTTCAATAAAGGTTCGCTCATTCTTATACAAATATAACCGCCGCTCTGGTACTCGCATAAACCTGCACACTTTTCAATTACAAAAACAATTAATCATAAAGCATAAATCTTACGTGTGACGCGTCATTCATAAGAATTTGTTAAAATTGATTCGTACTAATGTCATTTTCTTTGACCAACGAACTTCTACTCTACTTAGTTGTCCCCAAAAATATTGTTGATTAAACGCAAGAAAAAGTTTATGAAGGTCAGGATTGGGATTTGAAGGATCAAAATCTACTAAGTCTATTCATAAAAATATAAATTGCGATAAATCATTTTTATTTGTAATAATTTCAGGAATTTTATCAATAAAGTAAGTAATATTTCACCTGCATTGTTATTTTCTTTAGTTCGTAAATAATCTTCGGCTTGTAATTTAAGTGCCAATTCTAACGAATCAGACTCTTCATGAAGTCTCTTTAATTGTAAAAGTTCTAATTCTTTCTCCTCTTCTTCTTGTAATTTTTTAGCAAAAATTTCGTCTTTATCCATATATAATATTACCTTGCGAAAGTTTCGTGTTTTATGATAGAATTTCAGACATCCCTTCCTTTTTAGTAAAAAATAATTCCTGGGCCGTGTTCGATCACGTGACTTTCTGAAAAATCGTTAAACTTTTCGCCACCATATATATACCTTTCAAATTACATATAATGGGTGTATTTCAGCCTGCTCTACAAGTTTACTCAGAGCACAAATGAGGTTTTGAATACCCCGTTTTTTATTTATTTGCTATTTAACCATTTCAATAACAGATAATATATTATATTAAATCACGTGATCGAACACGTCTTTGATGTGTACAATATTTCGTATCTGATATCACTATTTTTAATATTCTAAATCAAATTATATGCGTTTAAATGTATTAAATTTTTTATTACTTGGCTGTGAACTGTTTACAAGAGATTTTATGGTTATAAAAATGGAGGATTATAATAAAAAATCCAGAAATAATGGAGAAGTCCGAAATAGATCAAAATCAATATTATAAGGGTCATTAAATAAACCAATTTTAATCAAATAAATGGAATTAATGAAGTAAAATGAAAAAAAAAAGAACCGAAATTTACTCTTACTATTAGTTTATAACAAAAGAAGGTTGAAGATAAATTGATTATAAAGTAATATATTTTAAATCAATTTCACCGTACAAGCTTTAGTAATTTACAAAGTTTACATTTAAATGTAGTTGCGCGAATCGCGTAAACAATTCTAAAAATATATATACAAATAAACTATAGGAGACTTTGCTGCACGCTTGGAGGTAGTTCCTCTACATCAAAAATCTCATCATATTTATTTTCCATCCATTTTTGACCTTGCTCAATAGTTTGTTTAACTTTATTCGTCACATGTTCCATGTCTCCCTCAGCATGCTTCCAGGAAGTATACCATGCTAGTTCACATAAAATTAGAAAACCAAATGCTCCCCATACCGTTGCTTCACCATAAACAGCATAATAAGTTTTAATTTTTTCTTCACTAAAAGGAACCTCCCAAGAATATAGATTGGTATGGTCATTAGTCGCAATTTGTACATGTCGAATACGACCGTAAGGATCTATAAATAAAGGTCAAAAAAAATTTTTAATTGCGTAATTTATAAATAAATATTATAATATTGCAAATATATTACCGATGAGCCCTGAAGCTCCACCTCCATCACATCTTAAAATCCAATACCCATTTTCAACCGCTCTTACAGATGACATTTTTAAATGTTGCATTCCGACATGTGCGGACCAAGTTTGTGCCGGTGACAAAATCAAATTTGCGCCTGCCGCTTGGCCAAGTAACTCTGGGAAATCCATATCTAGACATATGGCTCCACTAACATTTAAACTTAAAAATTCTGTTTGTCTTCTTTCTTTCTTTGGTAATTCAATTTTTACAGTACTCAAATATCCTGGACCACTTTCAGTGGAATATGATTCTACCAATGGAACAGGATGTGTTTTCTCATATTTGAATAATGTTTCATTATTCCCAATGAACGTCAACATATTTTTTTTCTTGGAGCCATTACGGACTGTATATGCTAATCCCAAAAAAAAGTGATATTTGTTCGTATAATTATAAGCTGTATTTAATAACTTTTCATACTCGGAATCATTTTCTATTGAAATTGCTGATTCACTCCACAATACAATTTTCGATTGAAAATTAGTTACTAACGTCGCTGTTTTTTTAAACATTTCATCCATCGTAACACCATAGCTTGGTAATACACATCCAACTTCTTCAGTTTGCGTATGGTTAAAATTGCTTTCTATGTTGTTTAACCTGTAACTTCCGATGAAAAAACAACCTAGAATAACAAACAGCATTCCCATACGTAAATAATAGTTATTTGTTATATCTTCTTTATATACCATTGTGTTATCGTCGTTATCAGGAGTTGGATGATTAATTAAGGGAGTTTCCTCATCCAATATAATATTACGATTTGTTTTATTTATTCTATGTCTCAATATCAGATAATCGGATATTACTTGCATCCACAACGCCAAAAGAAGATTAATTGCACTGAGCCCTCCAATTGAGGCTATCTGTACGATTGGATCGCCTGTATATCCCGAGTTATCAATTGTATATGACCAATCTCCCCAGGATCCTAAAGGAGAATATCGTCTAAATAACGACCAGGCTGCCGTCCAAATTACCGGAAACATTAATCTTGAGTTCACATTATGTGTGAAATTTTCATACCTATCGTTAATTTTTATTGAGAGGTACTTCGTCAATACCATTGGTATTAGCGTAACAAGCGCTATTGACGCTCCTATAATTGATAAAATCGTAAAGTTTTCAAAATAACTTTCCATAGGTGAAGTTGTTGGTTCATTATGAGCCAAAGCAGCTCCTGATGTGAGTGCCAAAAATAATGGTAAGTTTATTAATGATGGACTCTTACGAACCAATATATAAATTAATGGTAAATTAAAAAATGATAGGATAGGAATTGGAGTAGGCCCAACTCCAAACCATGTTAAACAAAATACAGTCCCATGAGCTGGGAACATGTATGCTAGCTGTTTAACCGTTTGTTTTAAAAATTGGTATATCATTATTTCAAATAAATTTCAAAATTATTTTTTAAAAGAAAAAAAAGGAATCAAGTGGTTATAAAAACAAAAACAAAAGCGGGCACTTTTTATTATAATGTAGATAATGATTTAGATAATCAAAATGCTTTTGTGACGATAAAAAAAAATGTGTACCAAAAGGCATTTTTGCCTAAATGAGGAAACAAAAAAACAAAAGCATTTTGTAGGTAATGACTCCAAATGACTTCCAAAAGGTATGATCTGAAGCATGTGAAACATCTTTCTTATTGACGCTCATATAAATATAGCATCGGCTTTATCTGACAAATATAACAATCGAAACTTGGAATATCAAACTGCGGTCTATCGGATTTGTTCAATTAATGTGATATTCTTGTATAAAAAAAAATATTTAAATATAAATAAAAAAATAAATTATTTATAATTAATAAGAAACGCGTAAAACAATATAATGTTAAAATGTTATGTAAATCTATTAAGAAAGGTACATATTTAAGTTTCACAGCGATGTCTATCAGGCACCCATGTAAATCAGCTATATATATATAATACAAAAAAACAATATTTTGTACAAAGCAAAAAAATATGACGAGTAATATATAATGATAAAATGACAACTACTGTATATTCTCTAATGAGAAGTTATAACAGATTTTCTACGTCCTTCCAAAAGACCAAACTTACTAATTAAATTTAAAATACTCGCAGAAATAATTTCTGCATTTTTTTTTTGGTATCCTCCACTCAGTAACATTACTATAGGAACTCCATGATCGAAAGCCATTCGAAATACGATTTCATCTCTTTTCAATATCGCTTCAGCCGATAAATTCATTGCTCCAAGAGGGTCGCCTTCTAAACAATCTGTTCCTGCATTATATATAATAAATTGAGGATGAAATTTATGAAATGATTGAAATAGATTTGATTGAATGAGAGGAAGATATTTATCATCTTGTTTTAATTCTGGTGATGTTAATGGAATTGGTGTAGTGATTGAAGAGAATGCATCATTGTCCTGTGGATATATATGAACATTAAATGCATCTACAATATGAATTTTATTATTATGTGCCAAATCGCGTTCATATCCATTTCCCTACAAGAAACTTGTAATAAGCGAAGGAATAAAAAAAAATGAGTGGATGAACGAATGAATATGTTGTTGATACCTGATGAGCGTCCAAATCCACAATCATAACACGAGAAACTTGATCAGGGTATTTCGACAGTATTTTTTCAACCATCAGGGTAATATCCGCGTAAACACAAAAGCCACCACCACCATCATGATGCGCATGATGAAATCCTCCTCCTAAAAAAGCAAATACAATAAATTTTCAAATTCATTGATCAAACTAAACTTAATATTAAATACCTAAATTAATCCCCCAACCATATTCTAAGGCTAATTCTGCGGCAAGAACGCTTCCACCAGTTTGTAATAACATTGGTTCCAGTACTTTTTTCTTCATTAAAGCTTGAGGTAAGACGGCTAAAAAAGGAACTTCCAAAATTTTTTGCAATTGAACATTACTATTTAATGATTCAAGATATTGTGTCGAATGTAAATTTGCTATATCAAGTGGAGTTGGAGGTGAAGGTTCATAAAATGAATCAGCATCAAATAATCCCGATGTTAATAAAATTCGATAAATTCTTTTAAATTTTTGCGTATCAAATGGATGTATCTACACAAATTGTAAATAATATTAATTTCAAATTTGTCCAAATGCTATCGTAAGATACTTTTACTGACCTTTTCAAGATTCCAAAATACAATATTATAACATGGATGGTAAACTATTGGTACTTTTGTCATATTAGCGACTTTTTACACTCTTGGAGTCAAAAAATAAATAAATAAATAAATAAATAAAAATATAGTAATAAAAAAAACAAAAAAAAAAATATGTAAAAGAAAAGGCTGAAACAAAGTTGAAATTTATTATAGTTAAATTAGTTTATATCTTTTTTTGGAAGTGTAATGAAGTGTTTGTCTATTAAACGCGTATGAAAATCCCTAAATCAGGTAGCAGGTCGATCATTATCAGAGCCTGTTAATTTATAAAATCAAAAAAAAAATTTTTTTTTTGTTCATAAAATGACTTTATTACACCTTTTATCATATGGCGCAGCTGTACTCGCGTTCTTATTTTTAACGTTGAGCTTAGGTATTTTAAATACCTTTTTTTTACAACTTTATAAAACAACTTACTAATCAATTTGTTTCTCAAAGCATGTGGACTATATTATTTAGGTACTTTGTTTTCTGAGTGAAACAAATCTATTCTTTATTTGTAACATTGTTAACATTCGTTGTATAACTAGCTGAGCTCGTCGAAGAATATACAGTTTTGACAAGAAAGATTATAAAGAATGTAACGTTGGTAGGTAGATATCGTAGATATCAATTTCAGTATAAATTTCTTCAATTTTTTTTGTATAAAGCTTTTTAATTAATAATAAATACGATAAAAATTAGATGGTTGTGGTAATTCACGTTCTTCTATGGTTATTCGATAGTTTTCCGTTTTGGCGCATTCTTTTCTCTATAATGTGTCATGGTGTATATACAATGAACCTAGAGACATTTCCGTTTATCAATTTGACAAGTTTACCGTTTATCGCAAGCTGTGGTAAATTTTCATAGATTTTTTTTTTTTTTTTTTTTTTGGTAAAAATAACGTTAACCTTTTTTTTCCTTAAGTGCTGGTGATAGCTGACCACTTTCTATGGTTTCAATACTTTACATCTCGCTATTTTGTATTCGTAGATGTTGCTGCATTCTTTGGAATTTGCGTTTGGTTAATTCCATTCTCTTATTTTATTTCTTTAAGCGCTAACGATAACGCGCTCCCATCTTTTGGTTTGTTATTTCATTATTATAATTTCTTTTTTATTGATACATGTTAAATTTTTTTCTCCCTAATAGATCCGAATATTTATAATGCAGACTTGATTCCATCACGAAATAAATCTGGGCTGCTTAAAAGTTTACTTAATTTCATATTGCAAAAAAAGGATGATATGATTCCTTTGACATCTACATCAAACTCATCGAATCTTACAACAAGGAAAAGTTTATAGTTTATTGTAAAATATATTAATTTATAATCGCGTAAATTAGTTGAGGAACAATAATTATTGTGAATCATTAAAATATTTAGTAATATATTCATAGAAATGTTAATATATATTTTCTTTCACATTAAGTTTTTTGAGAAGTATTGGTGATTTGATTCGATAAATTATTTGAAGCATTTCCCGCAGTTGCTTGAGAGTCTACAGAAATTTTTTTTTCCAGCCAGTCACTAACGTAATGACCTGTTAAAGCTATGGCTATTCCTCCTATTAATATATTTTTAAGTTTTAAGTTTATTAAATAAACGAAAGTAAAAACTTGAGTCTATATTAAAACGAAATGATACCTAAACCGAGATAAACGCGTGTTCTTGGTGGCAAAGACTTATAAGAAGCCCAAAATGACTTCATGTTTTTATTCTTTGAACGATTTGGTTTTACAGACAAAAAGTATTTCGGTTTTGCACATCTCAGATGTGATTAAAATATATGCAAATCACATGATCCATTAACAATTTTTTTTTTTGATAATCTAAAAAAAAATTCTATTCTATAATATTGAAAAAAAATGGAGATTCATAGGTGTCGTTTCGTAGAGTATATGCCATCAGCTATTAATGCTCTTGCATTTACGACCGGTACGGCTAGACCTTTAGTTGCATGTGGTCGTGCTAATGGAGATATTGAAATATGGAACCCGTTTAGTTGGCACCTAGAAAAAGTATTTAGCTGCAATTTAAAAGTTTTTATTATGCTATTTTATATTTAAATTAATTCACTTTATTATCGGCGTTTAGAGAATATTAGGTGAATTGAATACTTCCGTGGAATCAATCATATGGGTACATAAACTTAGTTTAACAGAAACAGATAAGATAATTTATAGTACAAAAGATGAACAAGAAAAAGCTTTAAAGGAATTGGCTAATAAATCGCCAAGATTATTCTCTGGTAGTGCCAATGGATTAATAATTGAATGGGATACGACAAAATTAAAAAGCAAGGTAAATAATATTAGGAAAAAAAAAGTTTTTTTTTTAACTTTTACAAAAAAATGCAACGAATCAATTTTAATTGAAAATTGATTTATTGTTGCGAAAAGGATTTACATCATTTACATTATTGAATACCTACCTTTATACTTATTAATTAAAATTAATTCTAGAAATTTATTAATTCACATGGAGGAGCAATTTGGTGTATGGCCGTTAATCACGCAAATACATTACTTGCTATTGGGTGTGATGATGGAGGTGTACGAATATTTGAAATTACAGATGATGGATTATCCTTAGTAAAAAATTATGATAGAAAGGAAGCAAAAGTTACTTCTATAGCCTGGGACAAGGAAGATAAATATATTGTATTTGGGACTTCGAATAGTCTTATTATAAAGTGGGATGTTGAACAAGGTATTAATAAGAGAAAAATGAGGATGCAACTTTATTCATATTTTAAATATAAATATTTTTTTTTTTTTTTTTTTGAAGGACGTGAAATACTTAGGATAACTCCAGATAAAAATTCACGGAAAGAAACTATTGTATGGGCAATTCAAGTGTTAAAGTAAGTTTAAACTTCCCGATTTTAAAGAAATGCATATTGTTTTATACACATTTTAACGACACAAATGATTTTTAGAGATGATACTATAATAAGTGGTGACTCGCTTGGTTACGTATGTTTCTGGGAAGGAACATTTGGCACGATGAAACAAAAACTTGGTGGTCACGACGCAGATGTTTTGTGTTTGGTTTCGAATATGGTAAATACTTTTAACATAAATTCTCTTTTTTTATTTATCTTGATTATTTCTTATATATTTGCCCTAATTCTTAGGATGGTACAATGGTTTATTCTTCTGGAGTAGATCGTAAATGTGTTCTATATCGAATTGTTCCTAAACCCAAATCATACGGTAAGGATAATTCAGTCAATGAGAAATACTGGGTAAAGGTAGGATATAGTCGTCATCATATGCATGATGTGAAAGCTCTCGCGATATGTGAAGAAAGGGGTGTTAATTCTGTAATTTCTGGAGGTAAAGTATTTATAGCATCGTAAAATTTTTTTTTAAAAAAAAAATTATGAATTCCTGGAATAACACGATATAAATTGTCTTATATGAAGGTGTTGATACAACTATGGTCTTTGCTCCAACTTTAAATTTCCCTAAAAGCAAATATTATAGGGTGCCTTATGTTCCTTTAAAACCTATGATTAACATGTCCAAATCAAAAAAATTAATAATGTTTCGATCTAATGATCATATAAAAATCTGGAGATTGGGTAAAGGTAAAATATCAAGCAATTTTAAGTGTGTATGTTTATACACACATATTTAAGGACGTGACTAAGTGTCGATTTATAACTATTTATAGCAATGCCGCCAGAACCAGATCAATTTAAACAAAAAATTCCTCGTTTGGAATTAGTAGAACCTCAAAAGGCTATTTTAGAAATAAAATTAAAGGTATTTATTTATTTATTTATTTATTTATTTACGTTATATTAGATATTTATTCATTTTGAATTAATATCATTAGGGAAATAATCAATTAATGGCAAGTTCAATATCCGAAAATGGGGAATGGATTGCAGTATCTGATGTTGAACGTATCAAATTGTTCAAAGTCCTGGAAGACGTAAATATGATTATTAAATTTTTAATTATAAATAAGTAACATTTACTTTTTTATTTATTTATTTATTTATTTTCTTAGGACGATAATCCAGTTCATTCAAATCATTTAAAAGTACGTAAAATAAAAGATTTTCCTCAAGTAACTATAGACGGACGTAATGTTGGAGCCAATTTATTAGGATTTGTTCCAAATGGAAGTAAACTTGTAGTAGCTTTTATGAATTCTGAAATAGTAGTTTTTGGGCTTGAAATTGACGAAGAGGATGATGTTTATATAACAGTTCTGGAACGATTTGATGACTACTCTACAAAACCTGATTGTGAACCACTAACCAGCTTGACTATAAGTGAAGATGGTAAATGGTTAGCAACTGGTGATCTTCTAAATCAAATTTACGTATATAATTTAGAGACTCTTAAGGTAAAATATACTTATTATTATTATTTTAATATTAAATTTTTTTTTTATAATGTATTAATTTATTTATTTATTTACTTACTTACTTGGCATAGCATCATATGACCATTAATCAATTTTCTTCTATACATACTTCATTAACATTTAATCCATTTGAACCTATACTTGTAATAACTTTGACATCAAATCAATTCTATCTTTTTGATTTACAACAAAAGAAATTAACCGATTGGTCATTAAAATATTCAGAAAAACTTCCGCAAAACTTTCTTAATCTTAAAGATAAGATTATGGGATGTTCATTTAATCCATCTTCTGATAGTATGATTGTATGGGGAGCAAATTATTTATGTTTAATTGATTTTAATAAATGCAAAATAAAAGAAGGCACTGGTAATAATAATGAATTAATTTGTGCGAGATGTTCAGGACAACAATCTAAACCGAAATTTTTGAAGAAACAACAATCAGGAGAACAGGAACAAAAATATGAAAAAATATATACGGATACGATCAGTTTTCAATTAGTTAATAGATACCAAACATTAATGTATTTAAATTTTATTAAACATAATCAATTAGTTGTAGTAGAAAGATCTTTTAGTTCTATTTTAGAGAATTTACCACCATCATTTTATAAAGCAAAATATGGTACATAAATTAAATTTAATTAGTTGAAATAAATATACTATGTCATATGTTTTGTCATAAATATAATAAATATACAATAATGTTAATATATTATATTTTAAATGTTTATAATGTTTATTTTGTAATTGTGCATAATATAGGTTAAATTTACAGGAAAGATCACAGGGATTTTTTAATCGCATTTTTTAAATGGTGTTCCATAAATTTTACTGAAATATTTCTATTTTTATAATTGTGGTAAAAAAATTCATTTTGAAAATGACGATAAAAATGATCTCAATTTTTTATTTATTATTATTTTTTTTTTTTCTGTAGTGATACATTTTGGTTTTTTAGATCTTAAGACCAGATTTTTGGGTTTTACTTTAAATGACAAGTTGTGCTTATAGGTGCATTGTTTGGTACATTAATCCTTATTAGGTAACTTATAATGATACAATTAAACATCGCGTGTTTTTCAAATATTATGTTTCAGACAGGAAAGAATGGATTCCAAAAAAAGTTTCTTTAATTAACTTAAAAGTATCCTTATTATTAGAAACGAATTAAAAGATTTATTTTCGTTATTCCGTTCGGGTAATGTATTTCGAATGAGATTAATATACGAAAAGCCTTTTTTTTTTTATGTAATTAAACGAAACGATACACAACTTATTGTTTGTAATTCAAAATTTAATTTAAGTTTGTATACAATATATATAATTTTTTTTTTTTCTAAAGTGAAAAAAAAAAATTTCCAGTAATAATGAAATCTTTTACCTTCATCATCTTTTTTAAACTTTAATAAGTAAAATGAGTTGACAATCTTTTTTTTATTATTATTTCCCTGTTTCTTTTTTATTTGATTCTTCCTGATTAAATATTTAACGTTCCGGAAAAAAAAAATTTTTTTTTTTGTTCACACGTTCATGTGTGAAATAAATTAAATAAATAAAAATAGAAATTCACTTTTTATTTAAAAAAAAAAAGATAACTGATAATTAAATAAATAATAATAAAGGTTTACTTAAGTAAATGTCTTCGAAACATTCACCGAAATCTTCACAGGGGAGTATTTCAAGCGAAGGTGACATATTTTTTGAAGCAACAACAGAAATAACAGAAATAGAAGTTATAAATGAAAATGAAAATGAAGAAAGGACTTTCAACGACAACAATAACAATGATAATAAAAATAACAATAACATTTACTTAAAAAATAAAAATAGTGATATATGGCAACAATATCGTAAAAATAATGGCAGTAGTAGTAATAATAGCAGAGTAATTCGTCATTATCCATCATCATCATTAGATTCAACAACAACTGCTTATATGACACCACAAGGTTCAACAAGTAATTTATTAATTAATACTATGAGACAATCAGTACAATCAATAATTAATCAAAGTCATAATAATCAATCAGACATTGATTTGTCTACAACAGCGTCATCTCCATTTATTACTAGTCCTTCTTCTCCATTTGATACTAATAGGTTAACAATGGACTTCAATAATTATAATATTTATAATAATAATAATAATAATAATAATAATAATAATAATATTGGTAATAATGGTAATAATAATGGTAATAATGGTAATAGTGGTAATAGTAATGGTAATAATGGTAACAATAATGTTAAAAACATTAATATTAATAATCCGTATAATTATTCATCCAGTAGTAATTCAGCGGCAGTTACAACTAAAATAAGAGAATATGAATCATTGATTAAAAGATCTTCGCATTCAAATTTAAATCCTATAATAGAATCTGAGATTAAAACAGTAGAATCATCATATTCATCAAAACCAAAATATAATCATACGGTTCAACCTTCTTCAGGATCAAATACTTACGTAGGGGAACCTTATGATCATGTTGAAATAGAAAATAATAACGATAATAATAATGATAATGATGATACAAATAATAATTTACATGAAGAAAATCTTTTAAACAAAGAAGCCGTTTTAAAGTCAAAATCTTCTGTTAAACCTAATAACAGTAAAAAAATTACCGGTGAAGGATCATCATCGAACATTGATGTTGAACATATCAATAAAGATGATAGTACAAAAAAAAATCGTAATAGGCCAATAAAGTCATCTCGACATAATAGAAATAATTCTTCTGAGATCATTATAGAAGAAGAAGACTATAGTGTAAAGAATTCGAAAAGAATATCAAAATTATCATTTATAACAACTAAAGGTGGAGATACTACTACTTCAAGAAGTGAAAGTACAATAGAAGTAGGAGTTATAGATTCCCCAATATCGCAAAAACATCTAACCAACACAAACGATATCACTACAGCGTTTTCTCCAACTACTTCATTTAATCAAATTTTTAGAGAATCGATTAGAACGAAAAATGTTATAAGACTTAAAATATGGGAAAAATTTCTTTTAATGATTGGATGTTGTCTGATACTTTTTCTTGCAATACTTGATGTTAATTTGGTAGCAAATCAATTGCCCAAAATTTTGGAAGAATTTAAATCCGGTGAAGAATTTTCATGGTTAATAAATAGTCATAGTCTAACAAGTGTAAGTCTCTCTTTTTTTTTAAAAAAAAGTTTTGCAATATATCTTTTATGTAGATTTTATAACTTATTTTTCTTTTTTCCTCTTTTTTTTTTTACAAATTATTTCTCACTTTGTTAAAGACAATGTTACAACCATTTTGCAGAAAATTATCAACAATATTTGGAAAAAAATTGACATTTTTAGTATCAATTTTAATATTTGGTGCGAGTTCAGTATTATGTGGAGCATCACAAAATATTCAATGGCTAATTGCAACTAGAGCAACCATGGGAATAGGAAGTGGTATGATAGCATCTATGACATTTATTATTATATCAGAAGTTTTACCTTATAAACAAAAAGTATTTTATAATATTGTTATGAACATAATATTTGCTATAGCATTTATAATTGGTCCACTATTAGGTGGTTTATTTGTAGATTATGTTTCATGGAGGTGGTCATTTTACATGAATGGCCCATTATCAATAATATGTATAATAATATTGTTAATCGCACTAAGAAAATTTGGTAAATCATCTGAAAATACTTCAACCAAATTAAAAGAGGTTGATTGGTTGGGAATCTTCCTGCTGGCTTCAGGATTATTATTATTACTTTTTGGTTTAAATTATGGAGGAAATAAATTCCCTTGGATTAGTGTGACAATATTAACAATTTTTGGGGTCGGATTTGTTATTTTAATGTTTTTTGGAATATTTGAAAAAATATTTGTTAAAAAACCTTTAATACCAACATCAATGTTCAAAGATTCTTCTATAAGGGCCATATTTGGATGTTTTTATTTTATTGGCTGGATACAAGTGATAGTAATTTATTATACTCCAATATATTTTCAATACGTTCGTTTGCAATCGGCTACACAATCTGGTATATCACTTTTACCTTTAGTATCAAGCGTCGTAATATTTTGTGCAATTAGTGGAACGTTGGTAATTAAATTTGAAAAGTATAAATGGTTATTATATATTGGTTCAATTTCACTAATAGGTGGTGGATTTTTATTGTCAACATTAAATTTAACTACAGAAACATTATTACGTGTGATAGCATTAATAGTTATTGGATGTGGTATCGGAACCCAATTTATTTTATTAATACCTGCTTTACGTGCCGTTAAGAAAGGAGAAAAATCTGGTATGATCGGACTTTGTAATTTTTTTAGAGGTTACGGATTTATATTTGGCATATCGATATCAACAGCACTATTTGATAATCATATTTTATCGAATATGAAAAATACACAAAATTATCCTATTAAAAGTTCTCTTAATGATGTATTATCGCTTAAAAATATTCGACAATTAGATGAAGAACAAAAGAACATAATATTAAATAGTATTAATAATGGCATTTCAACAATTTACATACTTTGTATATTTGTGGCTGTAATGGGTTTAATCTTTGCTTCTTTTATAAAAAATTATAACTTAAGAAATGACACAGAAGATAATAACAATAATAGTAATAATAATAATTTTGAAGTATTAAATGAAAAGATAATATAATAATAGATAGTTGCTTATTTATTTATACCCTTTTTTTGTAATAATTTTTTATTTATTTATTTTTGTATTTATTTCTTGTTTAGAAAGAAATTTTTTGTACCTTTAGTTTTTTTAAGTATCTTGTACTTTAGTCTTTTTTTAAAAATTTTGTTTGGGTTTGTAATAATACCTGAATATGTAGCAATAGAAGTGATAGAATTTTTTAAAAAATTAAAATTAATATCAGAAATAATCTTATCCATCACCAATCATCATCATCACTGTAATTGATGTTATCATCATCATCATCATCATCAGCTTCTTCATTGTCATCATCATCAATTTCATCATCATCATCATCATCATCATCGTCATCATCACCATCATCATCATCATCATCATCATCGTCATCATCGTCATCATCACCATCATCGTCATCGTCGATATCGCTGTCATCATTAACATCATCATCACTTGATTTTGAAGTATTCCAATCAACGTTCCAATCAATATTCCCATCAATATTTCCATAATATTTTTTCTTCTCAAAATTATAAAGAACGGTATGAAAATTTTTCCCTGATAAAATATGTTCTTTTACTTTTTCTACTAAATAACAACATTCATCACTTAAACATTCATTTAATATTCTGTAACATTGAAATTCACGCCATGATTTAACCGTCTTTTTGTTTGTATAAAATAAAAATCGTCTAAACCATTCACCTCGATTTTTTAATAATTCATTAACTTTGTCTATATCAGAGTGCCTAATTAGTAATAATAATAATAAATTCGGGATTAATTATTACCAACAAACAAACAAATAAATAAACAAACAAGACATAACAATCCTAACATCACTTAACTTTAACCACACAAAATATTCTATTGCTTTATATAAATAATTAGAATTATCGTCTCCATATTCAATACGTTGGAACAGTAATTCACATATATTAAAATACGCATCAGTTAAAATATCCCTATCTTCTCCGTTAGTTTGCTCTTTTTCTAATAGGAATTGGAATCGGAAAATTAATTTGGATAGAAAATTTAAAGATATGATCATTTTTCCCCCTACCTATTACTTGAGTATAATGTTCCATTAAGGGATTGAACACTTCATCAGGTGGACTCACCGGATCAATTCGATGATACGTCTTTCCTACTTCAACCCATTCATATTTAAGTCTTTCATATGTATATAAGACTTCAAATAAAAGCCTTTGAAAACAAATATATATACGCACTTCAGTTTACTGATGAAAACAATATAATTATTCCCTTTTAACTTTTATGTACCTATGTCCAGTCAAAATTGATGGGTTCTCATTGCAGAAATTTTGTATGACATTTATAGCTTCTCCAATCTCTTCCTTATATAACAGTAACTTGAAAAAAACGTATATCTTGAGTCTAAGTATGACATTTTTAATAACAATAATAACCTCATTTTTTTAATTTTTTTTAGATACCTTAATATAATGTACTAGAAACATATCATTCGACATATCCATATCCAAAGACATCCTAAAATTCCTTAAACTATTTTCATAATACCGTTTATGTTGATCCATCATTTGATCATCTATTTAAATTCCGGTAATAATTATTATAAAGAAAATTTTTTATAATTATATTAATAAATTACATACCAACTTCAATGAAATCATCGTCTTTTTCATCAACATTTCTTTTTCGTTTTGATCTTTCCCTTGGTGGTAGAATTATTTTTGAAGCATTTTTACGTTTTTGCGGTTTATAACCAACCACTTCGGGTTCCGATTTTTTAAATTTGGCGTTTAATTGTTCCCACAACGAAAATGAAATTAATCCTGCATAACCGTATAGGAGTGGATTATTACAATACGGTTCTTGAGGCAAATATCTATTTAAAGAATAGAAAAATTAATAATTGAAATGTTTTTACTATGAGGAACTTGTTATAAAAAAAATCAATTGATTACGTTTCAATAGTTGCAAGAGCATCGATCGTTTGTCCATATTTTACTTGATAAAAAACCAATTCCATTATAACCTTCTGTTTATCCACTTCTCCAACATCTCTTTTCTTCAATTATGAATTAATAAACAGATTAAAAGGCATCAATTTTTTATTACGAACTTTAATTTTAAAGATCGTATTTACCTTTGTATGATTTTTTAATAACATTATATTAAAGAAATCGATGAAAACTGTTGAAGTAGGATCTAGAGTAGCCAACACTTCAATAGCAGGCTTTATCCCAAAAAAAAAAAGATTTAACAATGTAAATTATCCAATATACAATAAATATATAATATATATATGTTTCTTTTTTTATTAAATAAATTTAATTAATTTTACATTTTACAAACAAATAAATTAGAACCTGCCAAATCCTAGTCAAATCACACTCGGGACATTTTAATAAAATTTCAAGTATTTTGCTAGCACGACAATAATTTCGTTCATAAGATGATTTTAATAATAATTCATACAAATTTTCTATATGAAAATCACGTAGTCTTATTGCTTCAGATTTGGCTTTTTTCCATTCCTCCTCGGCTTCTTTAAGTTCTTTCATTTTCGAAATTAGTGTCTTTACGTCAGTAGCTATTTGATCTATATATCACGTGATAACAACCTATTATATAAATGCGGTCTGTGTTCTTTTAGTACATTCAACAATGTCCCAAGGTACAATTTTCATATTTTTTTTATTTTTTTGAATATTAAATTAATATTTTATCTTTTTAAAATTATCTTCAAAGATATTAATTCTTACTCCAATTATCATAAAATACAACCACAACTTAATAATGCCACTACAACAATACCAAGTGACAATATTTTATCTAATGAATTCTCCAGCAAATTAACGTTAAATAATGGATTTACTCCAATTGGGGGCGATAATGATGTTAATCTGATGAATAACACCTCTAATGAAGAGGTGAATAGCGAAAGTGATGAAGAAAATTTTGTGCCATTTGGATATGAGGCCTTACCACAAGACGATGAGGAGGAGGATGTACAAGAAAATAATGATTTTGCATTTCAACAAGTAATTTAATTTGACTTTATTCTCAAATATATACATAAATAATTGCTATTAATATTAATATTAAAATTATAGGAAGAACGACCAAAAGTATTACAAATTCACACAAATGATCAAGATAAAATTCCAGATGGTAAATATGTTGCTGTAATTATGTCATTCTTTTAAAAAATGTTAATATTATTAAATGTTATAGACGATTTGGCTGTGATTAATTCGATTATGAAAAATATTAAACTACCTGATACTTCTATACCTGGTAAGTGAAATTACTTTTTTTTTACATGTATTTTTTTTTTATATTCGAAATTATATCCCTATTAATAATTCCAATTACAATAAATAAAGAATGGGCAAAAAGCATACCTGAAGAAGCTTGGCTGCCTATTGTAATTAATGATGTTAAATCGAATAATAATACGTAAATGTTTACGAATAACGATATACTTTTGAATAATTATGTAGATTTACTTTTAATTGCAGTAAAAAGTTTTTATTGCAAATTTCTCAACACATTTAGTTGTCATTTTATCACGCAGCAATAACATCAACAAATATGCGTTTAGTGCTATTCCCCGTATTGTTATACAATAAATAATTAAGATAAATTAAAATACGAGGTTGTCCATCAGAAACAGAAATAAGGGATTGATCTATGTGATAATATTTTTTATGGATTATGTCTATGTGTTTTTTAATGATGAAAATATACACATATTTTTTGAAAAAATTACATCATTATATATGAAAGAGGGACTTAAAAAAGGATTCTAGCGATTGAGTGAAGCAAATGCACGAGTAACGCTACGTTGTAATTTCTTCCTTGTAGCGTTAATATCTTCCTTGCTAACCGTCGAATCATTAGAAATGTCAAGAAATTCAAGTGCTTCTATAAAATTTGATTGAAGTAATTAGTATTAAAAAAAAAATAAATATATCAAATCAATAAATTTGAACCTGAAAGAGCATTCTCAATGGATTCTTTATCATTGCGTTTCAATTTCATAGCAACATTTGGTTCATTAAGCGTATTTTCAATCTAAAAAAAATAAAATTCTTTCAATTAAATGATTATTATGTAATGAAATAGCATATATATTAAAAATGATAAATACTTGATAAACATAATTTTCAAGCTCTTGTTTTGCTTCTACGCGTTCTTGACTCTTTTTATCTTCCTCTTTGAATTTTTCTGACTCAGCAACCATACGTTCAATATCAACAGCTGATAATCGACCGGCCGAATTTGAGATTGTAATATTAGCTTTTCGTCCCGTCGCTTTATCCTTTGCTGTAACTTTAAGAATACCATCAGCATTAATATCAAAAGTACATTCAAGCTCAGCTTCTCCACGAGGCATTGGAGGTATTCCTGATAGTTCAAAAGATCCTAATAAATTATTATCATAGCACATTGGCCTTTCCCCTTCATATACTGGAAATTCAACGATAGTTTGACCATCTTCTGCTGTCGTGAAAACTTTTTTTTTGATAGTTGGAATAGGTGTATTTCGAGGTACAACTACTGCCATAACTCCACCTTGAGTTTCAACACCTAAACTAAGTGGAACTACATCTAAAAGTAAAAGATCCTGAGTTTTTTCGTTATCAGCTTGATTTGTTAAAAGAGCAGCTTGCACAGCAGCTCCGTAAGCAACAGCTTCGTCCGGATTAATTGATTTATTCAATTCTTTTCCATCAAAGAAATCTTGAAGAAGTGATTGAATTTTTGGGATACGAGTAGAACCACCTACAAGAACAATTTCATGTATATCCTTTTTCTCTATTTTTGCATCTTTTAAAACCTTACGGACAGGTTCTAAAGTAGAACTAAATTGAGAAGAGTTCAATTCCTCAAATTTAGCACGAGTAATATTGGCTTGAAAGTCAATACCGTCATATAATGAATCAACTTCAATAGTTGTCTGAGTTTGTGAAGATAAAGCTCGTTTTGCTCTTTCACAAGCAGTTCTTAAACGTCGTATAGCACGTGCATCCCCTGATATATCATGCTTCTGTTTACGCTTAAATTCTAGTTTAAAGTATTCAAGAAGATTGTTATCAAAATCTTCACCGCCCAAATGAGTGTCTCCTGCGGTAGCTTTTACAGCAAAAACGCCTCCAGTTATATTCAAGAGAGATACATCAAAAGTACCACCACCCAAATCAAATATCAAAACATTCTTTTCTTTTGTTTCTTTAGAATCAAGTCCGTAAGCTATAGCTGCAGCAGTTGGTTCATTTATAATTCGAAGTACATCCAATCCTGAAATTTTTCCAGCATCCTTAGTGGCAAGACGTTGAGAATCATTAAAATAAGCTGGAACAGTAATAACAGCTTTCTTGACTTTTTTTCCTAATTTTCCTTCAGCAATTTCCTATAAATTAACGAAATTGTATGATAAGCAAAAAAAAAAATCAAAAAATATAAATAATAAAAAAATTAATTATACCTTCATACGAGTTAATACCATCGACGATATTTCTTGTGGGGTAAAATTTTTCGTTTCGCCCTGGTATTCAACTTGAATCAAAGGAGCACCATCTTTTTCAACAACAGTAAAAGGCCAATGCTTTATATCGGCCTTTACTTCTGGATCGTCAAAACGTCGACCTATTAGACGTTTCGCGTCAAAGACTGTGTTTTTAGGATTCATAGCCGCTTGGTTCTTGGCAGCGTCACCAATAAGACGCTCTGTGTCGGCAAAGGCGACATATGAAGGTGTTGTGCGGTTCCCTTGTTCATTAGCAATTATTTCTATATTTGAATAGAAAAAAATTTTTTTATTATGTATATAGATAAATAAAAGTCTCCTGCTTTTTTAAAAATGACTTACCAACGCGCAACTCATTTTCCCACACAGCAACGCACGAATATGTAGTTCCCAAGTCAATTCCTATAGCGCCTTCATACTGGTCTGACATTGTTGAATACCTACTTTAAATTCTAAAAATTTTTTTTTTTTTTTTTGTAATTGTGTTTTTCTTGTCATGTGATCTCCGATTATCAACAATTTACGGACGATGAATTTCTGCGGCGAAATTTTATAAAATCTGCCGGCGGTTTAACCTATGATCTGCCCTGCTTCTGCGGACTTAAAATGATTATTTTGGCTCATTTATTTCGGCTATAAAAAAATTTTATTAAAATCAAATTTTATTATATTTATTATTTGACTTTACAATTAATTTCCATTAAAATACATCATATTTAATCCTTTCAAAGAATCCTCTGAAAGATTTTGTCAATTTTCATCCAAAATATTGTTATAAATTGAAAAACTTCTTTCCACACTACAGCATGATACAGGTACCAAATATAATCAAGTGCAATTTTTGAAAGAATTGGTAATTTATCTCCAAGATTCATCCAATATTCTTCCAAATTAATTTCTCCAACTGAATTTTCCAATTGCAACCCACAATAAATGGACCATTTACAAAGTAATTCATCTGAAGGGTTTGCTAATTCTCTAATAGCACTATATTGATGTAAATTTTTTCTTTCCAATGGACCAAGTAAAATATATTTAGGATCAAAATTTTGGGCAGCCCAAAAAAGTGAATGTGTAGGATGTGAGGGAATATGAGCATTAAATTTGTTAAAAGCAGCTTCAAAAGCTAAACAAAAAACAGGATAAAAATCAGGTGGGTTGAAATAATGTGAAATAATAGTAGTATCAAGATCTGGACCAAAATCTTGAGAATTGCAATTACTTTCTAAAAATGCAGAAAGATGATTAAGGCGTTCCTTTACAAATGGAAATATAGGCTTGTTTTGTTTCTGAAAAAAATCAGTATCTTGTATGAATTGTCTTGCATATATAGAAATAAAATGAATATAAACTGAAATAGTACCAAATTTGAAAGGATCAGAAAGAGTTTTTAAAATATTTTTAAGTGTTTCATTTGTTGAATCATTGGTTACTTCATTCTGAAAAAAAGAATTCCAATAGGATATGTGTATTTTTGTATACTCAACCATTTTAAACTATAAATTCCAATGTATAGAATAGGAAGAGGAATTTTACAAGAAGAAGATATACTATAATTGCATAAGTGTGTTAAATATCTACCTCTTCTTGCTGGACTATGAAGTACGAACAAAGCATTCTTTTACTTTAGCCAAGAATTCTTTTAAAATAGCAAATGGATTAAATTTTTGCCATATTTCACTACAAATTTAAAATATTATACAAAATTATTTTGAGATAATTAAATTTATAACAAAAATACTTTACTTACCCAATTAAGTACAATATATGTGCACAGTAAGAAGTATAAATCAGTTGTGACATAACAGGTTTTAACACTTCATAAAATCATTTCTTCATATTAGCGGCTGAATCTGAAATGAATAAACGTAAAAAAGAAAAAGAAATATTATATTTTGTCAGAATTGTAAGAAGAGTTGATTCTATTGTTGAATTATTAACTTGAACTAAAAAATCCATAGAAACTAATTTGGTATTTGTGTGAAAGTGAAAAAGAGTATTCATCACACTACAAGCATGATCATCTGTAGTTTTATCTAAAGCTCTGAATTTCCAGTTTGGTTTCATTTTCAGTTTCATTTTCAGTTTCAAATTTAGTTTCTTACTGAATGTTTTTCAGGCTAAAACTTTTTACTGAAAAAGTTTTTGTGATTATATTTTAACTAAAAAATATTTTTTTAGTTAAAAAACTTCATTTGAAAACAGTTTCAGTTTGAGGAGTTTTCTAAAAAAAATGGTTTCAATTCCATTTTTTTGATCCAAAAATGGAACTGAAACTGATTTTTCAAACCAAAAATATTTTCAGTAAGGTTTTTAACTGAAAAACGTTTTTGGCTAAAAGTTTAACCTGTAAACGTTTTTCATTAAAAATTTTAAACTGAAAAACACTTTTAGTAAAATTTTATGTACTAATAAACAGATCAGAACCAAAAATTGGAACTAAACCAAAAATTCAGAGCTTTAGTTTTATCTATGGTAATTGCTACTGGTTTACTTTCAAATATAAGTTTAAGTTGTGTAAAATGGTTTTTAAAGATTTGAGATAAGTACATTTGACATAATATAGGTGTCTTGAAAATGAAAACTCTTTATTTTACATATCTTCAAAAAAAAAAAATAAAAGAATTCACTTTTTCTAAAGGTATATTAGCAGTAATAAGAGCCTAAATTAAATCTTCAATTAATTCTTTTTTACTATCAGCAATAGTAACAAAAAAGATCAGTTTATATAAATTTTAGTATAGATAATGAAGTTTAAGTTAAATTACAATATTTCAAATATTGTTATCTGAAGTTTTAATAAAGTTCATTAAAATATTATTGAAAGAATGTGAAAATATTAATTATAAATTATTCTTAAATTTTTTATATATGATAAGAAAAATTTTAAGCTTAGTTGACCAATTTGCATATTTTATAACATCTAAAATGCTACAAACTATATAAAAAGGAAAATATATCGATAGAAGATAATTATATTGTAGTTTAGTATTCCAATCTGTTAAAATGTTATCTGGATTGTTTGACAGATATTCATTATCTGGCAAATAAACAGATGACAGATACATTAACAGATCAGATATGTTGGATGACAGATAATAATGGATCAGATATATCAGATGATAGATAATAACAGATTCATCTGACGGATACTTGTCAGATTACGCTAAATTATGTAATATTACACAAATTTCCAAAAAAAGAAACTTTGATTTCTGTGAAAATGGAAATTTATATTGCACAATATTTCTAAAAAAGGAAATTCTGGTACTGATCAGTTAATTCTGGCTGGAATTATATCTTAATACAAATTTTAATAGTATTAATGAATAATCTGAATAATCCTTAATAGTCAGCGGTTATTTCAGATCACTTGCTGATCATTAATTAAAATAATTTTGTGTAACTATAATTGAATATTCCATCATGTAGCTAAAAAAAGAAATTATTAATACAACGCTTATACAAATTAAGTAAATTAATAGTTCGTCATGTGTATTATAAATTTTCATCATCATTTCCTCTTTAGTAATAATAAATTTTTTTTTTGCATATACAAGAAAGTTTATCTTAAAAATAAAGTTTTCCTCCAGATTAAAGATGTTAGCCATAATTCAAAAAAGTGTCATAATACAAAATTTTTATATGCCGTAATTAATTAAGGCTATAAAAATCTTATAGCCGTAATTCAAAATTTTTTAAAAAATAATTAAGTCTAACATCTTTACTCCAGATGCAACTTAAAAGTAGATGTAAAATACAGTTTAAATGATAAAAATATATGTAATTTTACAAAAAGAAAAGATTTACTAAGTTGAAAAAGGTAGTTATTTAGGTAGTTTTTGTGTAAACTGCAAAAAGTCAATTTTTATATTAATAAAAAAAAAAATTTTTTGATTTCAATAAAACTTTTAGCAAAGGCTTTTTTTAACCATTAATTATTTTATTTTTAGCCATAATTTGGCAAAACAAACAACTTTTGTTAAGCTTAGAAGAGTGATTATTATACCAGATTTTTTGTTATTTATAAATTTTATTAAAATTTTTTAATTAGAATACTAATAAGAATTTTTTTTTGATTATAATAATATTATTAGGTCTATTTGAATATTATAAATAATTTTAAATCAATAAACTAGTCAAAATATAATGTTTTTTGTTTATCTATATTAGACCTTTAATGCTTAAATCTTGGTATTGTAGTAATCATATAAATTTTTACTTTAAAATTTTTAAATTTTAGTTCATTTAACAAGAAAATAAAGCAAAAATTATTTATTTATAGAAAAATTCATATTGGATATTAGATTTATTTATCTTGTTAAATCATAAATACAAATAGTATAATATGAATAAGTAAAATGTTTTTTTATATCTAAAGTAATATTAAAATAAAAGATATTTATAATATATTTAAAAAAAATAAGCAAAAGAAAAAAGTTAAAAAAGTTTTCTTAATACTTTATTAGTTTGTTATATCAAAATAACTATATAATTGACAACCTTCACTAGCTAGATGCAACTGAATAAAGTGAAGTTTTTGACTTTTAAAAGGTTTAAAAATATTTTCAAACCTTAAACAAATATGTTTACTATTGTTGAAAAAAGTGTTATATTGCATAAATATGGTGTTACCTTTGACCTGAAAATTCTGATTTTAATGAAATTTAGGCCGGTATTATGAATCTGACCAGAATTAAGAAAATTTTAGCCAGAATTATAATTTAAAAATTAATGAATTTTAACTAATCAAACTAATTTAGCCAAATTTAAATATTAAATAAATATTATATACCTAAAGATTGTATCATATTAAGAATTTGTATTATAATATCATAGTACAAAAAAATGACCAGTGACTATTAAGGATAATTTGGATAATCTGGATGATACTTATGCGAATATTCTGGATGATAGATTTCAATCAAATCAGATAAACAGATGATGAATTTAATCAGATCAGATAAATGGATGATGAATATCCGTCAGATTGGAACACTATTGTAGTCATATAGAATTTTTCAATTCAACTATAAATGATAAAAATACTTCAAGAAAACAAATTATCTTAAACAGTTAAGTATTAGTTATATTTAAATTAATATATTTGATTACATATATCTTACAGCAGCTTTTATATTTGAAATTAAAAAAATTTTATGGAAATTTAGATTTTGTGCATAATGCATTTTATGTACTCTAATATATTTTTTTTTATATGTATGAGATTAAAGTTTATTTGTCAGATATTTGTAATCATCACATAATTTATCCAAACTTTTAATAAGCTTCATTTTTCTTTTTTACGCTTTTTTTATTATTTTTCTTTTTATTTATTCATTATATTATTTACAGCTTTAACAATATCAATGAATGATATTAAATCTATGTCTAGTGATTGCTCTAATAGTAATCTTTTACTAAAGAATT